ACATACATACATACATACATACATACATACATACATACATACATACATACATACATACATACATACATACATACATACATACATACATACATACAATCAAATACAATCAAATACAATCAAATACAATCAAATACAATCAAATACAATCAAATACAATCAAATACAATCAAATACAATCAAATAAGAATAGCTATCTAGCCATTCACCTACGTACCTGTTCCTCGGACACATATATGCCGTTTCTGAGTCTCAGTCTTGTGTTATATCTCAATCTACACCGAAGTGTCGTGTTCATTGTTCATACGACTTCCTTGCTGTATCTACATGTGCACATGTATGCGTGTAGATGCACTTTGATCTCCGAGCAGGACAGGTGCGTATGGGGCGATTCATGTATGGTGTATGGTGCGTGGCGCCCGGTGTATGGTTTGTATCAATCAATGATTTCCTCAAGTCTGGTAGGGTGGGTGTAATGTATGCATGAGCCACTGCAAGTAACAGAGAATATCAGAGAGTGCAGATCCCACCTCCCCCGTTCCTCTTGAATTACCGAACCATGTAAACACACCACATCAACCTCCCAACTCTCCATAACCAGTTATAGCATAGACCACCACCAAGATAAAACCACGAGTATAGCGAGACAGTCCACGGGCAGCGAAAGCTAGATACTAACAAAGACTGTACCAAGACTGCCTACACCAAAATTACCCCCAAAAGAAAGGGCTACTATTAAATCGTTGGCTAGAATTCGATATGGTTTCCACAGTTGTTGTTGTGGTGGAAGGACGATGCAAAAGGGGCTTTGTTACCAGTTGGTGGTAGAGTATATGATGAGAAAAAGAGTAACGAGGGAGGAGGATAACTTATAGTACGAAGAGCGACGAAAGGAGGAGGGTGGTAGGATTACCTGGGAAGCTTTGTTGGGCGTAGAAGATGCACGGTTGGTCCATGTGCTATGTGTGAGTGTAAGGTGAGGATGGGGGCGGAGATAATAGAGCGTTAGACGGGGCAGATATTGGAGATTGCAGACATGCAGCAGATTGAAAAAGCCGGGTGGCAAGGAAGCTGGCATACTGATTGAATTTGTACAGTAGTACCTGACTACCATTCATTTATCAACGCCTCTCACCCCTGGCCCTCAACGAGCCGCCTCGTCATATCCTCCTGCACCCAGCCCTCGATCCTCGCCGCAACATCACCCACAAGCTGCTCATATGTAGCACTCAGGAAGAACAGCCCGCAATGGGCACCCACTTCGTCCACACCTTCCATGTACACGCGCACCCAGGTCGGATCGACCTTGCCGTACTGGTCTTTCGACGGCAGCATGCAGAATTTCCGGTCCCGCTTGGGTTTCTTGGGCGTATCGTCAGATGGAGGAGTCTCGCGTGACTGAGCGTCTGTATCGGTGCTGCGCATGGAAGGGGTTGAAGCAAGGGTGTTTTGCAGATTTGTGGAGCTGTCGTTCTCGTCGACGTAGCTGTCTTGGAAGCCGTCGTAGCTTGTTGTGTTGGTGATGGGTTGACCGATGACGCGTGCGTGTGGACTGCCATCATCATCGTCGTCGTCATTGTGTTCTGTTGCGACTTGGCTTTCAGAGCTGGTGGGTATCGTGGCTTCGCTGACTTTGCGTTGCTCGCGTGCATCGCATCTCAGGGCTTCTTCCAGCTCTTTTCGCTCCGCAAGCGCGATTTCATGATCTTCAAGAAGTTGTTTGTACCTATTGACTTCACGCTCGTGTGTCTTTCTGGCAAAGTTCAACACACTTGGGTTTGGGTACGCTGACGGGTCGAATGGTGCTGGTTCCACCGGAGCAGGCGGGACGGCAGGGAGACTGGCGAGGAACTCCTCTTCCTCATCCTTCCGTAATGTATCCGTAATAGTAACCTGCTGCGTCTGAGAGGCTAGATCATATGTACTATCTGCGGCCGCAATTTTCGCAACACTGCCTTCCCTGTGCTCCTCGTTTGACATGGTAGGACCTTCAGGTTTCGGTGGCTTGGGTTTCTTAGGTCTTCCTGTGCTCGCCGTATAGTAATTGACAAAGCGCACACGCGGAGGTGTCCCCGGAGTGCGCATCATAGTCTTCCGCTTGGCCGGGTCGTCTTCGTCCAAGGGCCGCATGCTCTGATATCGCTTCTTCAGGGTGGAATAATCGGCCATGGCGCCACCAAATTCGAGATGCGATGCTACATACTGCCTGCCTCCTTTAAGAATGTGCTTTCTATGTTTGTTCAGGAAATGCAAGGTACCCTCCCAGCCCTTTCTGACAGGCAGATTGACGTCGTTCCCAAAAGCGGGATTATAACCTGGATCTTGAGGGGGTCTAAACAAAGTGTCTGCTCTACCTGGCGTGCCCAGCGCTTCTGTCTCAGATATTGCCCCTTCCTTTGTCGATTTGTCGGCTGGATTGAAAAGGCTCGCCAGCCCGCTTGAGATTACACCTGGATGCATACCCAAGAACGGCACGTCAAAGTTGATGGATCCGAGTATGCGGTGACGGAAGACACTGGCGAAGTGTGGGGACTGCGTTGGTATGAGGATTACTTCCGCAGACAGGAGCCCTCCCATAGAGTGCCCGAGCAGAATCACATCTGTGTTTGGGTGTTCGTGCGGCGTGAGCCTGCAGCAAACGTCAGCACAGTCCATATCTGCAAGAGTATGCTTCTACCAAGCACTAAAGTCATCGCGAGCGAATTCAATTGCCCGGCGTGTCCTGTATTTTGGATATATTTTTGTATGTACGGTATGGGTGTCAGCCAGGGAGATTTTCACTAGGTTGTGGACGTGAGCCGGGAAGCTTTGAAAGCTTGTCTCGTCGCCTTGGAAGCCATGTATATAGACGAGAAGTAGTCTTCGCCTATGTTGACCGGCAGGGGCATCTTCTGGGAGGAGTGACTGGGTCGAGGATGTTCTGGGATCGTGCGATTCGAGGTTCGAATGGGGATAGGGAGTGTACGGAGGAGGAGCATCTAATGGTGTGCTGTCCCGTGGAGGCAGCGGAGGCATATTGGTACCGGCCATGATGTAGGCTTGGTTGGACGTGAAGCGCTAGGGTGGTCAATGGAGGAAGTTTATGGTCAGAAGCGCTCAAATTCCAGCCGCTCAAGAGGAGTTGACGGAGCTGTAAATGAATGCGAGGTGTTATGAAGATTGTACGAGCACGAAGGTAAGGCGCATGAAGAACAGTGGGCACTGCGCAGTCAGAGACATTTGGATGGTTTGTCGCGATGTTGAGCTACATTGTGTATGCGTGAAGAGGGGTGAATGGACGCGTGTATTTTCTAAATAGCCTGCCGTATTCGTGGTGACTTATCCTGCAACCTGTATTATACGCCACATGCCACCATGCGAGATTGCGTAGGCCAAGCATGTGGCTGTGCATCGCCACAGCATATCCTCCCTCCACGTGTGTGCCTCAGAATGATTTTTCTCGAGGTGGGTTTGCAGGATAGGTAATATTTCCGAGAGCATTCTATCTAAATTGAATACGGAAGGCGATCTGTGCTGGCTCACCGTAACACCTTGTCCTATGAAGGACATGCAGGATGCAGTGCAAAGTGTCGTAGGGCGTGCGCCGATACGTGCATGCATGTCTGAATGTCATCGTGCCAAAAGGGTGAGAGTCAGTCAGTTGGACGATGAAATAGATATATTGGCATAGCGTGATCCGATGGCGACATAGGACCGACAGGATCAATACATAGCTATCCAACGTTATACATTCAATACTATGTACGATTGTTGTTGAGCTTTCGGAAGACTCTGAAGAATGGTAGGTTTATTCCCATCCTAATAGTGCTGTATCCCGAGTCGCGAAGATACAGGCCGCCCGGTACCGGTACTTAATAGTACGTGTTACCTATCAGCCCAGCCAAGTGGGACTAGCGCGCGACATGGGTAAGGCCATACCCTAGTTAGGTAGCAGCTAACAGATATAGATGATGGTAAGAGTGGTAGGGCAACAGAAGGCGACAAAAGGCGCGAAGAAGTTGGATCAACAGTCGGAGCTGTTCCTTGGCGGTCAGTTTAAAGCTGCTCACCTGCTAATTACCTATTAGCTGGGAAGTATGTTGGGTCAGCATAAAGCATGTCCATGCTGTGCTTCAGTGCTTCATTCTATGTCACCAAGATCATGATACCTTAGCCGGGGAATGTAGTCAGACATACAGTAGCACAAGCTCGACGCCTTGTTGGAAGCGGCAGGTGCTTGTTTCGTGAGATGAACGGACAAGGATTCGGCGGGGGCTTTCCGTTTAGCGCGTCTGTTTTCCGAAGCCTGCGCCTGTTCGCTTCTACCTGGAGCACTTGGGACTCCCTTGCTTGCTACCTGGTTACATGGACTCCAAGACAATCTCCGAAGTCAAGCCTGGCGAATCAGAGGGCAGGACATGCAACAACGACGGTTCAGCCCGTTATTTATCTTGTCGCAAACATCGAGGAAGAGTGGAATAGCATCGATGTTCCCAGCAAAGGAGTCAGAACCAGAGCCGAAGAGAAGGAGTCATTTGCAGGTGGGTATGCGCTGGTCAGGCAGCATTCCAAGGTTTTTCGCCTTACACCTGGCAGAGTCAGACTACCACGACGCAATGGAACACGGCAGCACTGCTTGCAGACGCGGACTCAGTTGCATGCATGCCGCACCTCCACCACCGCCTTGTTGGTGTGCTGTTGCTTGTTGTTGTTGATGCATCAGTGTCATGTAACACATCATTCTTCTGATCGAGCAGTCAGCAAGGCAGAAGACATGGTGTAGACGAGGAAGGGCAGCGCAGTAGGTAACTACGTATCGGCTGTGACTTGCATTTAGAGAACGATGAACGAGCGTTGGGTCAAACTTTGGTTCGGTCTTTGTTCCTGCATCGGTGTGTGAGGTGTGTGAGCTGTGAGCTGGGTGCAGTGTGGTTCGGGTGCGGCTCGATGCAGGACGACCAGGGGCTAGAGGTAATACATAGTACGACAGACTGACCAGTCAGCTGACGGCTCTCCTCATCTTAGATCCTTAGACATTTAGAGCTCATGTCATGGCCGTCTAGTGCAGATGGCAGGAATGTATGTTACTTGAGCAGGAATTTCTCATAGGACATAGAACGAACGCCTCGAAATCTCAGGATGGATGAATCACGACGCGAGCATTAATACAGCAATTACGATGATTACACCAAATACAATGATTACAGTAATATTTGCCTTGCTAGCCTGGATACGCGACGGGTCAATAATCTCGCACGGACCTATCGCAGTCAAGACTTTCAAGACTTTCAACCTCTTCAGCTTCTCAACACCTCAGGCCGCCATTTCCTGCTGTCTTATTCGCTGTCGCCAAACCACTAGTACCCAGCTAGGAAGTAGACTACCTGACACTACCTTACACCCTCCTTATTAGTAGCTACTTTAGATAGACTCCAACGCTCTCAATTCTGGTCGCGCGTTTCGTGGTTCGTGGTTCGTGGGCTCCGAATGCCCCCCCAAAATGCCCCAAAGTGCCAACAAGCCCGCCCGCGCTCCTCTCTAAACGGGCATCCATTCCACTCCACACAATCCTCCACTAATACCGCTTTTATCTCTTTGCCGCAACACCTTCACCTCCACCTTCACCTTCAACCTTCAACCTTACCTCTACCTCTACTTCCACCTCCACCTCGTCCTTTCTCTCGTCCCTGCGTTGGACTCTCCTAATTCTCAACTTCATCCGTCTCTCGCTCGCCGTGCGCTGCGTCTTCTCTCTTCTGTCTGTCCGTCTGTCTGTCTTCAAGTCTGCAGGTCGATCCTGGCACTCGCCTTCCACGTCTATCGCTCACCTTTGGTCCGCTGACCTGGTTCGAAAAGCGCAAACACATTCTTTAACTTGCTCTATAATCGCCCTCTCACGGATGCTGCATCAATCCTCTTTAGAGCCTGATGTGAGTAGTTGCCTATGGCTCCCCTTCCCATTCCTGATCAGGTCCCACCCGCTGATCTTGTAAATTCAACAGCCAGACTTCTGTCTACTGCCCGTCGCTCCTTCTCGACAGGCGTCCATTCTTTTCAATCCACTTAGGATGACATTCGCTGCTTCACAGACTTCGTGACTCGTCAAATCATCACTTTCGCCATCGCTCTGCGCAGATCGTCCGAACTCAAAACGCTCCTTATCCTTTGCGATTATCTACCGTGTTCGCACCCATCGAAATAATATTCTTCGACCAATCTCGCTTCACACATCGAGAATATCTCATCACATCTCAACAATTGATATTCCTGGGGACTAAGGAGGGATGGAGCCTCCGATGAAGCGGCAGAGGTTCTCCGAACTCGACGCGCGAGACACCAATTCAGCCAGACTCCGCGCGCGCAATGACCAGAAACACTTTAGGAAGCGTCTATTGTCTCGTTTTCCTGCCGGTCAATCGAGCAGATTGCAGATCGCGAGAGATGAGTCTGAAGTACTCGACACGAAAATCAAACCCCGCAAGCCGGCTGTCGTAGTCGACGTTCAAACCGTCGACGTCAACAAGAACGTCGTGGTTGACGCTGACGGCAATACCATCTCTGTTGATCTGCCCACCGTACCGGCTGTACCTCAATTCCCGACCGACTTCGTCGTTCCTTCGGTACCCCAGTATCCTACAGTTGCCGTACCTTCAATGCCTCAAGTTCCACCCTACCCTTTCAATACTTTCGTCAACACTGCGGCCTCTCCAACGGCTGGTACCAGCGAAAATAATACGCAGTCAAACGATGTGACTGGTGCCGCATACAGTTCAAAGCTCTCTATGTCTTCGAGCACTACAGTGGTGACACCTACATCTCCATCGCAGACATCTAGCTACATCAGCTCTGTTTCGGAGACGCCATCATTGAACAGCTCAACCACAGGAAGTTACCACTCGTCCACCATCACCACAACGTCATCCAGCGCATTGTTCACCTCTGCCTCCTCCAGCTACTATGATACCACCATCGCTCCCAGTCTTGTTGGCGCTCCTGGTGGCTCCGTGACCTCAGCACCAGACACAGGTGGCAGTACGGACAATACCGAGACTGCTAGCACTCCTGTACTTGTGGGTGGCGTTGTTGGAGGAATAGCTGGTTTTGTTCTGCTTCTCGCAGCACTTTTGATAGCTCTTCGTTACATCAAGCAGAAACGCCGTGGAGGTGCAGTCCAGCTACACGAAGGCGACGGTGGGGACACCGGTCCACTCACTGCCATGTCTCAAAGACAAAGCTTCATGCCACCTGCCGCTGCCGCGTTCTTCAACAGATTCTCCGGAGCATCGAAGGAGACGGATGTCAGCACTGAACGTAGCTTCCAGCGTGTCTCAGGTCGTAAGCTTCCTTCTGCATTCAGCCCTGGTATGTCTATGGAACAGGCTCGCGATCTTCAGAGCTTGTCGCAAGGTTCCTACTATCGTGACAGTCAAGGCTTCTACAGCGGATCCCCTGACACTGGACCGGGTGCGGCCGTCATTGGCTTATCCCCAGAGAAAGACAAAGAGATGATGATGCCGGGTCCGGCTCGAACGCCCGTCGTCCACGAGCCTCGGCACCCTCCTTATGGATTTGCTCCAGTCGGAGGAGCTGGCGCTCATACCAGTGGCACATCTACGCTCAGCCCGCCGTTGTCGCCGCACCCGTTCCCACGTGCAGGTACGCTTGGTCGCAGCCACCCATCACTCGACGGCTCGCGCGGCTCTAAATTTACCGAAGATGTATAATGATTTGACGTATCAAGCCCCACACGGTGAGGGGGTATTCTGTTTCACAGCATCTGTGTTTGCTACTTCTTCTGCTGTCTATCGACGGCTATCTGTGGTTCTTTGATCTCGTTACGACCAATTACGGCCTCACGACATTATACCTCGGACCTAACTGCCCATCTGCGCATCTGCTGTTGTCGGTATTCGTAATTAACATTGCACGCTTCGGACGACCAGCCTCTCCACGTGCGGATCTTTTCTTTCCGGCACTTTTCACATCTTCGTTGTACAAATTTGGCTCCGAACAGTGACTTGTTTGAGCTCTTTCTCACACATCATACCCCGCTTTGCATTCTTTCAGACCTGCACGGTCTGCCATCTTTGGAGAAATAGGACTACCAACATGCGTATCAGTGCATCCGAGAGGTGTCGCAGGTGATGGAAGTTATGTTTCCGCCACACCATAGCACCGAGTCGTGAAATGTGGTCGACTTTGCGCAGGAAATCGGGAGTGCCAGTGGAATTCAGAAGGCGAAGAAGTAGACGACGAAAATCAAAATATTAGGGCGCCAAATGACTACTTGAGCTTTGTAGTAGCATATTGCGTCGGATCAATCGATAACTTATCATCGATCAAATCAATCAATCAATCAAATATAACCCTTATCTTGCGTTATGGTGTCTTGTTGTGATGATGATGATGATGATGATGATGATGATGATGATGATGATGATGATGATGATGATGATGATGATGATGATGATTCGTTGAAGCATATGTACAATGTGCAGTGTATACATACAGTTCACGTTGTTGTTCGCCTAGAACGATGTTGTGAAAGAGGAAGAAGGTCCGGTATTTTGATCATTCCAAACAGTAAAAACAAAAAGGGACTCTACCAGACTTCCTCTCACTATTGTTATACATATATATATATATATATGTGTGTGTGTATCTATCACACTACGCCTTACCTAGAGAGACAGGCCAGTAGTGGTGCAAATCCATATGCAGGTACATTTAAAATGATTAGACAATATTTTAAGCTACAGATTTAAGTCAAGAAGTATTTTAATAATATCTATGAGGAGCTATATCTAAACATATAGAGGATAATATAAGGTCTTGAGAATAAGAGAAGTATAGGTAACGTGTGATGCAGTGATGCAGTGATGCACGCACAACGCGTGCGAAGCGTTGCGCCAAAAAGACCAAGGTACGGACGGATGCGGGCACGCCACATGGATCCACTCGGCCGAGCCTGGCTGGCCCCTTTGCTTTTGGCTAGCTGGCTCGACAAGGGCTGGATTAGATGGACCGGATGGAGAGACGGAAGGAATTGCCCGGCCCGCTTCCTGCATGCGTGCTCTTCTTGGCCGCCCCCTAAATCTGACCTTTCCCAAAACCTCGCGGCTTTTGTGCTTGGGGTACGTACCGGGTATTTGTTGTACTGTTTCCCGCACGGCAAAGAAATGGGATGGTACGGGATGGATGGATATCTGTGGATTGTGCTTGTCGCCGTGTCACGGCTGATCGAGGCGCTGTCAGAGCGGCGCAAGCCCAACCAGTCCTCTCACATATGCAACGAGCGGCGGAATGACCGTAAGCACGACAAACAGGATGCCATAGATGCTCATTGACAGCGATGCGAGCGCAGCAGCGCGCTTGTCCTTGTCGAGTAGCATCGCGACTGCAATCGCGGAGCTATTAGCGCCCAGGACGACGCCTTTCGTCACGTAGTCGTCTGGTTTTTTCTCGATGTTAGCGCTTTGTTTTCTATCATATATTGAACTGAATGGAAGGGGTAAGGAATGTTTAGGGGAACTGTGATGAGGGGACGGAGGAGGCGGAGGCGAAAGGAAGAAAGCAAGGAAGGAAGGCGACAAAACACGTACCCTGTGGAATCCGCAGTAGCCACAGCAACGTGGGCCCGAAAATGGGCCCCGAGATCCCGCCGACGACGACGATGGGCGAGATGGCGTTCATGTCGGCGCCCAGGTTTCTGGCGGAGACTTGTGCGAGTGAAAGTGGGACGGAGCGAGGGGCGAAGGCGAGGGCGCGCGCAGGGGAGAGGCCGATTGCGTGGCAGACGATGGGGTAGATGAAGAGGGAGGGCAGGGCGAGTGCGAGGTTGGGGATGAATATGGCGACGAACTGCACAGGATGGAATCAGAGATGGATTCATATGGGTGGTGGGAAGTGATAGGAGACTTACGAAGTACCAGAGTTCGCGGCGGTATTGGTACATGGGCATGGCCAGGGCGACGATGCTGGCGTCGAGCATGCTGGACAGGATGTCGCCGGCGCCGGGGAGTGGCAGACCTTTTTCGCCTCTGAAGTATCTGGTCTACAGGTCAGTGATCGACGTCTGGCATGGTTGACAAGGAAATCGCACCGTATGTATGATGTATTTGTCTTATAATCTCTCAGGCCATCTTGAAGGGAACGCTGTTTCGTCAACAAGATGACCCATGACAGCAGCACGACCAGCAACGCAGTAACGAGCACCGGATGTGCTACGCGCTGGATCTTCTGCGAAGGGCATCAGTAACTTCTCAAGTTGGTGTCAAGATGGAAGGAAGACATACCTTTGGAACAGCATTCGCCATCAAAAAGCAAAGCACCGTCAGCGACAGGAAGATCGGCATCGTATATCCTGTCGCATAGTAGATGGGTATGCCGATAAACACAAAGAAGAACAGGTACGCCCATGTATGCACCTCCCAGCCCTTCACAAAGTCCAACATCACCTGTGCTAAAGACTTATCTCGTGATCGCATCCGCGCGAGACACGTACGATGGACCTTCCCCTTCTCACCCTTCTCCACACTAAGCTCCCTCGAAGCTTGAGAACCCAGCTCACTCAACATAGGCGCTTGACTCGACTCACTAGCCCTCTTCTCTTCGTCCTCGGCCATGCGCTCAGATACAGTGTCGTGCTCATGCACTGGCAGAGAGTCTTGAGTCTCAGACTCAGCCTCATCTTCAGTCGCCACAAATTCGCTTCGTCGCACCTTTTTCATGCCAAGCTGCAACAGCCGTGAGGTATATGCCGTGACAACATACTGCGCCACATACCCGACGATGAAGACGACAATCATCTTGCCGACTTCACCACCGCTAATGGCAGGGCTGAGCGGTAAGAGGATAAATGAAGATGTGAAGTACAGATTCATAGTCCTAAGACAGAAACCGGTGCCGATATCAATGACAGCGAGGACCTAGTACTGTTAGTCTGGCGGTGATTTGACTTGCGGGCAAGGGGAGGGTACCTTTTCCATCCATGGCTTGGGAAGGACCACGTCAAGGAACATGATCCCGAACCACAGTATGAGAAGGCCAGCGACACTAGATGGGAAAACGGTGTTTCCCAGTCTAATGAGGGCATCTAGGGCGACGACGTAGTAGAGCAATATCACGATACTCAAAGGGACTAATATCCATGGCTTGATGATGCGTGGCCATAGTGTCTCCTTCACCTTGGAAGGGGTAAGCATTGAACACACAATTAAGGTGGGATACACGTACAAATTTCTGCCTCATATCTTTTATCGACTGCCCTGTGGTAACTGCCATTGGAAATCGGAGTATTCGAGGATGATGCCTTGGCCACCTTCCAACGATTTTGAAGGACTTTCTTCATTTTTAACAGAAGTTGATACGAAAATGCTCAGGCAAGACCAAGATGGAAATGTTCAATCACACTGCTCTCATGCCTACGTCAGCGATAGCAACAGATGCACATCGGTATCTTTCCGATGTTCACCAGTGTGTTCGTCCGATCGAGTATCGTCGAAGTGCATTTCATGCACCACAAGTGCGCACCCGTAGAGGCCGCGGAGGGCATGGATGGGGAGGCTGCTGTCACAGTACCAGGCTCCCCACCACCCAGTATCTTGAGGCTGCTACCGCAATACAACGTCCGCGGAAGTGGTTATTTCAATGCGCACTAATCTCAAGCCCCGCTTGAGTACGTCTTGCGATACCCCGAACATCGAAAGTCGAGTGGCCACTCTCCCATCCGCGTAACCCCCACGAACTCAAACTCGTGACGGATAAGCCTTTCGGATGACGATACGCTGCATTGGCGGGAGTTCAGTGCTGTATGCGTTGCAGAGCTTGTAGTATGCTAAGCGATCGTCAACCACTAGACATCGTATGTTCACAGTTGGGCATGGGTTTCTGCAAGGCAAGTGACTGGGGATACCGATCGCCGATATATATCCGTGTGCAGGCCGCATATTTACTGCGTACACTGGCGATTTCGATTGTGTTGATGGCTGCGCGTAGACGATCAGACAACTCATCGAACTTAGCTTCATTATGATGCAGTCCATTACCAGGGCTTGACGACTATCAGCGACGCTTTCAAGCATTCGGTCGTTTCAAAGCAACTGAGACAGATATCATGTGTTCAAGTAGGCATTGACACGCTACACAACCCCTTGGGCTCATATATATTTTTTTTTTGCAATGCTTGATACGAAGTTCCATCGTACCGGACAAAGTCATGGACATTTGACAAGACAGATCAGCCATTTGATATGTGGTAACCGAGCATGACGTACTAGTCGAGTTGAAGATATTTCATGGAAGAGCAAATCTACTATAGGAGAAACACTGATAATCACAGTTAGTGGTCACAACCTGTTGGACACCCTCATACACCTACCATTCCATATACTGATACACAACCCTATCCTAAATCACGACCACCCCTTCGGATACCAAGATTAAAGACACCCAGTCCGTCCAAGAGGTTGCAGCTGTCAAAAATTGGTGGTATGAGCCAAGTTGGAAGGGTAAAGTTCGTCCGTTCAAGGCTAAAGAGATTCACTCAAAGAGAGGTGCGCACAATGCTGAGCACCAAGGTAATTTTATGAGCAAAAAGCTATGGGATATACTTGAATCCCGTTGGAGCATTACTAACAATCCATGGTTCATGAGACTGCTGCACCCGCCCAGGATAGGCCAAAGATGTCAGCTATACCTTTGAATGTGTGGACCCTGTCCAGGTTACACAGATGGCAAAACATCCCGACACTGTATATTTTTCTGGATTACAATGATCTGCAAGAGCGAGCTCTACCAACAAGCCAGGTTCTGACCTAGCTGATTACCCCATGGTAGGTAACACTTTTTTCCATGCTTTTTGGAACGTGTGAGCTGACAATGCAAATTCCCAATGAGGTACACCATTTTTTCATGGCACAAATGTTCCATGATCGCAGGCGAAGGGAAGATTGTCTTACAGTTTCAGTCATGGAGCGTGAGAAAACCCCACAGACCGGCTTCCTCCAGCTAATCTTTGCAGATAGTAATACCGCCCACGGAGGCTTAATTGCTGTGCGGAGGCCCAAAGTCTCGGTATTCCTTTACTAAGCTGTTAAAGATGAGTCTTTTAATTCATGCCCAGAAACAGAGCTTCCTATCGTCGCCAGGATTGACTCTGAAGCTGCTACATTGATTATGTCCGCTATCCATCAACATCATCACGGCTTCATCATAGGATGAAAGATCCAGGACTCTCTCCACTGGTCGATGCTGCCCACGACGCAATCGCAGACAAGACTGAAGATACTACCAACGATGAGTTCAAGTAGCTTAAGAACGCCAACGTCATGATATGACTAGACCAGAATAGTGCTCCTAGCGACATATTCAGTATTGATCTATGACCTGACACATTCGGAAATAAGTATCTCAGATGAGCTATATGTATAACCATTTGGCTGTGACAAGTGGCGGTTACCTGGGCCATAAATGTGATCGTCTTGCTTGCTAAATAAAGCATTTAAAATGCCCTCAGATTGAAATTACTGGCAAGAGCATCAGACTAGTCGTGTTTAAGTCGTTCATAGTTTGCTTGCAGAGTCTAATCTCTGCTTCCCCTGGACGAATTTCTCAACAGTATAGGACATAGCACGACCTAAGCACGGCTTATCATCATGCTCCTATTCGTCGAGAAATATGTCTGTTTGGGCTCGCCCAAGGTCTGGCTGATACTTGTTGCATTGAGAAGTGACCTGCTTTCAAGGAATTTATCTGCCTCCAAGTTGTGTGTTATATTGAGGCGAACGAAACATAAAGATAATATGTCATATATGGTAAATCGTAGACTCATGTAACTATCAAAAAGATCTGGACAGGCCAGTATGTACAAGACGACATGCAGACCATGCAAACTGACTCCAACCCACCCTTCATGTGCACCGCACAAGACCATATATACTCCGTCCAAACACACCAAGCCACCAACGAGAAGTATGTCCAAGAAACGAACGGAGAAGTGCAAACTAAGGAAATACAAAGAAAAAATAACTCATAACGCCTTGCTCGCATTGTTGCGTTCCCGCTACGCCCGCTAAGTTCTGTCACTCAAATTCTCAACCGCTGATGTTGTAGGTGCACGCACACTAAGATGTCAGACTAGGTCAAGGAACGCTTAGAAACCCCCTCTCATGTTGTCGTACTTAGATGCAGGGTATTTGAGCGTGTTCTCGCTTTGATCTAGGGAGCCAGTGCCACCGAAGGTGTTGACCATGGTGTTTACTAGAGAGTCGCTGCCGGTCTTATCAGATGAGGCTTCCCAGAACATTCCGCCGCCAAGACCTTGAGACTTGATCCAGTCGGCTTTCTTTTGGATGATGTGAGGGGTATCGTAGGATATGAACTCCTTCTTGCCGGCGTCGTATGACCAGGAGGCCATTATGTTGTCGTCGTTGAAGACCTCTGCGCCGGCTTTGGGGAGGTCGGAGTAGTCCCACACACCATTCTCCCAAGAACCCTGACCAGTGCCAGAGAACGACTTGCCTGGACCATCGGTGCTCTGGAATGAACGGCCATAGATCGGAAGACCCATGACGATCTTATTGGCAGCGATGCCAGCCGCTTTGTAGTCGTTGATGGCCTTGCTGGTGCTGAATGGGGTGCTGCCGGGGTCGCTTGATGATGGGAAGACGTTGGCATCGTGGCCCGCAATGGAGTCCCAGGAACCAGAGTAGTCGTAGGCCATCAAGTTCCAGAAGTCAAGATACTGATCCATAGCCTTGAGCTTCATGACATTGTAGTGACTGGGGCCTGCTGGAGAAGCAACGGTGAGAAGGAGGCGGTTACCACCGTATTGCGAGGTGTAAGCATCCATAGCGCTGCGAACAGCTTTCAGCAGAGAGACCATATTGTTTGCTTCTGTCTCATCGGCAGGGTACTCCCAGTCGATGTCGAGACCATCGAGACCAAGATCTTTGACAAGCTGGACACCAGAGTCGGCAAACTTCTGTCTCCCCTCTGCAGTAGAAGCGGCTTTGGGGAAATTGGTGGAGTATGTCCAACCACCAATAGACATGATCAATTTAAGTTTACGGTTTGCTTTCTTGATAAGTTGGAACTGCTTGATGCAGCCGTAGACATTAGCTCCGACATCATTCCTAGTATCGCATCAGTGAATGTGACTTTCCTGGAGGCAAAGCTCAGTACATACCAGGAATCTGTTGGATAGTGCTTCTCGAGATCAGCGTATGTGTCGGACAGGTAGACCTCACCAGTCTCCGGGCGAACATTGGCGAAAGCGTATAAGATATGGGAAAACTTGGACGCATCAAGATCGGCTGGTTGGAAGTTGCGGCCGTAGATTCCCTGCATTGATGTTAGTCATATATCCGCTGCCCTGGATTTTGTGAAAAAGCTTACCCAGTTGACAAAATAGGCAACCGATCGCATGCCAGTGGTATCACGCTCCACAATAGAGCTTACATCACGTTCAACAACCCCATCGGCCTTCATGGTATCCAACCTCTGTTCCTGTATGTCTGCGGGAATATGCATCACCTCGGTAGGTACAGAAGCCACCAGACCTATGAGGGCAAAAAGGAGAGTGCTTGAAATCTTCATATTTAGAACTCCCTGTTTGAGAAATCTTCGTTCGCAGGATACTTTGGCAGGTAGGTCTCTGTAAAGCACTTCAAGATACAGATGGCAATATGTGAGATCTTATACTTTGGAGAGCCATGTGGGCAACATCAGTCCGACTTAGACGGACATTTGACAACGAGCCAACGTTGAAACATCATACTACGTGCAACGCTCAGATGGCTGGAGAGTGTCAGGGCAGAATAGATCAGAGGCAACCTTAGGTCAACCGTGCAAAGCTTTCAGGTGATGGTCGTGTCAATCTACAAGTCCACTTATCGAGACGGACGCCAATGAACACGTCCGACGTCGCATGAGGTCACATTTGGACGCGTAGCGTGATAAACCGATGTACACCTGTTATGTGGCTGGTGATACGGTGGAGAAAGCCTGGAGATACTACGGACCGTTGTGGATACAAGCACTCAGGTTGTTCGTAGCCAGCGTGCAGTTACGGAACGGGAGGATGCGGAAGTTAGAGATAGCGAACCACCCAAGAGAGGACATCATCGCATATAGCGAATGAGCAAAATCTGATAGGACTGTTCAGGCGACAGAGGAGAAGTAGATGCAGCTCCAGCATACGGGACTGAAAGATGAATATCTCCGACCAGCACACAACTCGAAAATGTCCGGCTCGATCGTACCAACCATTGCACATCACGGGTACGGAGCATTGCGTCCGCACGACTCCAACAACTTAGATCGAGAGCTCGTGGTGTTGGAAATATCTTGGTGGGTAGTTGATAGCTGAAGCTTGTATGCACCATTTTGCCTTCTAGATTAAGGAAGGGTCATCAGGCATGCAAGGGCGGGTGGTCGTAGGCCAGGGCGATTGACAGGGGAGCAGTGTTGATACTAAGTCAGGTGTGGAACATTGATGGAAAGTGGGATGGCTGTGGACGATCATGTCTGATGGAGAACCAGTTGATTGAGGGATAAATGATCGTCAACGGGAGATTATCCTAGAGCCGGTGCGAAGTGCGAGTGTGGCGCATGAAAGGACGGAGTGACACCGTAAAAGGAAGAATGAGAGCAAGTAGGAGAAGGCAGATGTTTGAATAGGGTTGTAGAATGCTGTATAGAAGATGTAGCAAGTCGCTTTAGTATGAATGCACGCGTGAGGTACTACCCAAGACGGACATGCATGCATGAGGGACCCTGTCTTATGCGTCCCACTGTGCCAACGGAACGGGAGAGTTGGAAAGCGTCGGTTAACTGTAGGGCAGTTGAGAGTCATGACTAGGTGCAAAAGGGGCTAATGCAACGTGCAGAGTGTGTATAGTTCCAGTGTGTTTAGCGGAAGAGCGCACACGGGCTGCAGTTTAAGCCTTAGTGCCTTAACCCCAAGAGGAGAGTCATCAAGTCACATGACCCTGGGTGCTAATTTGACCCTCTGATTGGCTACACTAAAACAGAAGGCTGAACAGGTGCACAGGTGAGACGGTCTCACGCTTCTATTCACTCCAAAACTGCTGCTCGCGCACCATGCACTTGCCCCACAACAAACCATGCACGAGTACACAAGCCACGCGCCGACAAGGTCACCCCATGATCGTTGAATCTCGTATCGTCTCGGCAGAGCTGCTTCCTGGACCTCACAACAACGAGACTGCCATAGCGTTCAGCAAGCAGAGCTTCTCCAGCCACAAAGCCGGAAATTTGGGAGCTTGTAATCGTCCGCAAGAAGGCAGAACATAATATAATGTCCCTCAGATCAGAAGTTGCTCCAAGCACGAGTATGGCCAAGCCAAGCAACAAAGAAAAGCCATTATAAGGCAGGTCTTCGAAGTCTACCATTCAACGCCTCTGCCCATGCCACTTCATGAGCCCGCAGACGAGCTGACTGAGCATCGACTCTACTACCCTACGAGCCGTTGGTCTCGCTATTGGTCACGTTTCATATTGTCTATCCGAGGACACGTCGCTTGATACAAAGTGCGCGAAACTTGTCCTTCTGTCTGTTGTTTGGACCCTTGGGACTTGTTACCCATAGCGAAATAATATATGGAGCATGCCACACGACACGGCATCTTCATCTATGGTTGGTACACGGAGACAAGGCTCCGATGCGTTGACTTGCATCCCAGGAAGAACAAGCATCACATCCTTACACCTACATGCAAGATTCGACCATCTTTGGTGAAAGATAACAGGGTTACGTCCCTTACAGTGCCTAGAGTTCTTGTGATCGCTACCCCGTTACTACCGATGCATCGAGAGTTCTCTCCTTCTCAAGTTACGTTGGAGACCAATCATACCACGCAACGCCATATCATCCATATCTTAACCCACGTCACCCAATCAGCTTTTTACATCGCCATGACGAACCACATTTTCTCATGCGACCTACTGCAAGCCACATTCGCGTAATGTCAACGGGATCAGTACCATGCAGACACTTATCGCAAGCGTGAAAGTCCACTGTCATATTCTGCGCGACTGAGTCGCTAACTGTCCATCACTTTCCACATTCAGCAACAAAGCCTGTCGATCATACCATACCATACATGGTCATATATCCTCCATCACGAGATAAACCAAGAGAAGTCACATCTGGACTGCATGTACGCCTCTAAGTGCTCTCTTAGACCCCATGTTCCTCGACTGCTGCCACCTGCCACTACCTGGGAGTACTATGGGCTACGACTCTATCTCTTCTAATTCCCAGACGGGAATGTAGTACAACTGTTGTGCTTTCAGAACGTGGTGGTATAATGGTCGTTCTCGATGATTTCCTCCCTAATGGACATTGAAAAGAACAAGCCATTGTGATCCTGCAAGATCCTCGAGCGACTACAACTAACGCACGTGAAAGCTGAACGCCGAGAGCCTTTTTGTCAGTTGCGTACGACGGACTCATATCCTGATACCTTCGGACAGTAATCTGCTTCTACAGGTCTGCTATGAGCTTAGGGTCAGGTCGTTAGCCTCTATGGAAGTGTTGACGATATATCGCACCGACGCTCGGCTTAGGAAGTTTGCTAAACAGTATAGGTAATACAATACGACATATCATGGCTTCACACTAATGTATACAGCATCAAGAGGATGGGTCGGTTTTAGCTGGGTTAGTTTACACCTCCAAGCATGTTTTGAAGCCTTATGCGAGTACAGCTGCAACACTGTCATAGCTGACTGCACGCTGTATCGCCGTGTATATTGGTCCTCGAGGGTTGAACTTGACTCTCCCAGCCTTCTATATCGCACGATTGCTATATATCAGTATGTAAATTCCCGGGATGTACGCCGAGCTTTCTCGGTGTAGCCGGAACATTTCTCGTCGGAGCTTTCGCGACATCACACAGACACATCATTCGTCCGAGCCAAGTCAGAGGTATATGATGCAGAGGGGAGGCTGGTTCCCAGCAATGCCCAACACTTGTGAATGTCGACATCGTATGATGTGTCAAGTCTGCAGATGTGCGATGGTGTCCTCAGCGAGCATAACCGTCAAGTTCTACCTCACGTGTGGTCATTTCGGCGCGCTGGAGCAAGATGTTAGACATCGTGAAGTGAAATGATACATCTATGAGTGCAGCCGCACAACTGTTGAGAGCATGCGATTCTTGAGCTCCTAAAGTTTTGACAGCATGAATAACCACATGATCGCTATTTTACACTTTTTATGGTTGAACAGTTGTATAGCGTCATATCAGCTGTGAGGTACTTGCATAATACTTGCAGCTGAAGGACATTCGTAATGATCAGTATGAATCGTTGGCTCGTACGCGGTAAACTTTAGCGCGACATACTGTGTCATTGTTTAAGAGAGCGATGAGTTTCTCGGATGGTGAACCACTTCCGGGGATCTTGTTCGATGCTGACATTTTTTCGGTTCAGTTGCTCAACTTCGATCGTATCGGAGCCCAGGTACCTAGGATATAGCTTGTGCTGTTCGGTGTCTGCGATGGTGGTTTAACTGCAGTATCCTCGAACACAGGTGCTTTTATATCTATATTAAGTGACAGTTGATATCCTGAACAGTGTAGTGTGGTCGTGGACAATGCGACCCAAAGGAACGAGGCAAACAGGCGCTGAGCAAGTTTTGTTTAGCATATGTGTGCAATACTTGTATCAAAGCAGATACCCTGTTGTATCATAGAAAGAGAGTAAGAAAAAGACTCTCCACCCAGGATCAGAGGCTGCACTGATTTAGTTCACTCTTAGCCTACTGCATTGCTACGCGGCCCCGAAAGTGACCAGAGTGACTCGAGATAGGGTTGATAGATAGAAAGCAGTGCGTGGAGGTCTTTTCCCCAGGATCATCTGGCTTCCACATCTCGATCACTGATTTTGGGAGCTCTCTGCGTCTTTGTTTCCTTCTTGCCTCGAACTCATATCATATTCAGCGTGTCTTGTGATTTGAATCTTTCTATCAGCTTCCCCCGCTTAGAATACTGCCAGCGGCTAGTTCTAGAAGTCTGTAAACGTGACGATCAGCATTCCGCCTCTCAGTAACTCGCTCAAGCAACTTTGCTGCCTTTCGATTTGTACCGATAAGAGAAATCAAGCTCCCCCACCAGTCCACGCACGAGACTATGATGGTCAGTCAGCGCACATGCCCGCTCATTGGGATATAGCTTACTTGGTCAGAGTATGTAGGTCAGCAATGATACTTCGACTCGCGATCTGCATAACTGCAAACCCAGAATACCCCGGCTCAGCAACATGCCTTACGGCCATGATATGCGGATCCAGCTCTTGTAGATGTCTCAAGAGATCGTACTCTTTTGGTAAAGGTGGGTGAGGCGGTAGAGGTTGCGCGTTTATCATACTCGACGATAGCAGATACAACGTAGATGTCACGCTATGCGAAGGAATCTGGAGATGGGGATCCGCGAGGAGATGTCTAAAGCTATCGAACCACTTCGTATGCGTAGCACTGTTCGGATGAGTGAGTGAAAATGAGCCTGAGGCGTGTCCCATCAATGCCGAATACATAACGATACGATCAATTGTGGCGATGATCTTGTCGTAAGTCTCTTTGGGAAAGTATCCGTCTATAGGAAGTTGCCACCGAGTCATTTCACTCTCTCCGCGCATGCGCTCGATGAGGACCAGAATTTTCGCGAGTATGCGCATACGTTCTTTTTGAAGTCTTCGACCTGGACTGGCTTTGGAACCCATGTCACCGTCATCGCCGCGAGCGCGAGCGTTGATAGTCTCCTGAATGATTGCGTAGTGGTGAGCGGCAAACAGCAATGTAGTACCAACGTCCTTGCGAAGCTCCGATCTTTCCGTCACTGGGAAAGGAAAGATGGTGAAGATGTATGCTACCAACAATCCTGCAGAGACTGTGGCAAGTCGGATTGGAACCAGTAAATATAGGGGGTGGTAATCCTGGCCATTTGACGTAGCTACCTCGAGACCAAGCTCGATTACTTGCAGCTCGTAACCTACACAGATGACCGTGGTCACCGCTGCGATCAAACCAACAAGTAAGTACTTCGATTTGACAACGACTATCCAGCCAAAACCAAGCATAGCAATGAATAGGAAGACGAGAGTACCAGCACTTTCGCCTGCCACGATGTAATATACGATATACGACGCGACCGCAGCCAGTAATGTTCCGGAGAATCTGAGAAAGTATATCCATGTGGCGAGACCGGCGGTGCGCGTCATAGAGACAGTGCATATCTAAGAAACTCGTTAGCCAGTATGCAGAGTCAGAGGTCCCAACTCACGATTGCTGCCCAGAACAGCCGCTGTCGCACGAAAAAGTTCTGTGTTTCTTCAAGAAAAGCGGCAATTCCTATAGACATGATAGCGCATGCGATTCGAAAGCCGAAAACGGAGTGTTCGCTGCGTAACAGTGTTGGCACTCGTCGAAACGATGCTCCAAACCGCTGCCACGATGTTTTGGCCGGAAGACGCTCTGGATCTTTCCGTGGATTGAAAGCCTCGCCATACAAGACATCGCTCACATCGGCCAAGCCATCGTCGTCGTTGGTAGGATCGGCGAATCTACCAACAGAGAATAACCACTTTCGTACCCGCTTCCAACTAGGGTATATTATATGTTTCTGCAGCCTCTTTCCGTCACAATGCCGGACAAGTGCTACAAAAGCGTTGCTTGATGACCAGAAAAGATGTTCGATCTACAGCCATATTAGTAGACTGCACTTTTGAGGTGAGTAAGACTGACATGTAACAGCACGAAAAGCTGGCGTTGACGATGAACAGTAGCAGCATCAAGGTCATGCATAGGCCATTCCCATTCTGTTTCGAAGGAATCTGCTGGTATCGGAATTTCGTGCATTTCGCAGAACTGATGAAGACATTGACGACGAGTGGCACGGAACAGGCTGACACGCTCCTCGAAATGGGCAGCGAAGCCATCATGACCTGGCGAAGAGTTATCCTCTGCCCGTTCTGCATCACCAAGCCTTGACCTTCTATTGAAATGATGCTTGTTTAATTCGAGACGAATGAGGATATGTTGTACTGCCTCGATCATGATAGAAGAGATATTCTGTACAGGGTCCCGTATACTCTGCATAATGAAGCGGTACTCCTCTTCAACTCTTTCTCGATCAAGATGAGGTGCATCTGGAAATATATTGTGGTCCGCATCTGAGCTTGCATTATGCCATCCGCGAAGAAGGAGATCGCATACGGGACTCTAGAGCCTGATGAATTCGTCGAAATTCAACGACTGGGCCGGGAGGTTATCATCCCCCTCGTTGGTGTCACATCTGTCGTGGACATATTCGATCGTCTTGCGCAAAGTGCCGGAACGGATATCTACCTGTAGCTTTGTATTGATAGTGCGTAGAGCTCGCGTCTCTTTACGAAGCGTCTCGGCCTCCACGGTATCGACAAATGGACTCTTCTCTTCGAGGCTTTGAAAGTATTCTCTTTGTGCTGTAACAACCTTTTCAATACCATGAAAATAAGCTCTCAAACCATTCAATACAGGCGTACGACAATTCGTAGGATTGACCAAGAGTGATGTCGCAGTTCCGATCGCCATACCAGTCAAAAGCGTTTCCAGAAATCGTTCCACGAAACCGAAGGCAGAGCTGGTGCCGTTATCCAAAGACGAAAACCGGGCACCATATATCATACCGACGACTGCAAATATCGTCGCCATGACTCCTGCAAACTTATACTGTGGTCTAGCCGATTTGAGTGAATTAATGATGTAGACTTGGAAGAACAGCCAAACTGCACAGACCGCAGAAGCTGACGAGTTATACCCAGTCAGAGGCTCTCCAGGAGGTGTTGTGTGCTCCCGAGCCTTGAAAGCACTCCAGACGCCTAAAGTCGTACATGATGCGGTCAGACATACAGATAGAACATTCACAAGCATGCTCTCTAGGAAACTTGCCCGCGGTGCCAGAACATTGGAGAGAATCACTGCTACAGCGATGATGTATCCAGTAGTGCCATAATGCAGTGAGACTCTATTGTCCTGAAAGATGGCTACTGCAATGGTTGGGCCAAGAGCATATTTGACCATATTCAGGAAGACTGGAGCTGTGATGCCTGTCTTCTTCCATAGCTTCCTCATGCGTGATCGCCAAGTAGGTATCGATGTCTGAGCAGTTTTCCATTGCGTGAGCCCATCGGAGCTATTAGTCTTGCTCACGTTCATAGCCGACGTTGTATTGTATTCGAGTAAGTGATGAGACCGTGAAGGGATCGAGTTCCAAGAAGCTCATGGCGTCAGCTCATTCGACTCTAACAGGCCAGGCAACAAGCTTCTGTCTCGATGATCTTCTGGAGCTTGATTGATAGAGCGTTCGAGGCAATTGAGCTTCGAGACGATTTTCGCTCTTTTCATCATGCACTTGACTCAAACGAGAATAGTTCGCCGTGACAACCAATCGGATGACATCACTCACGTAGGTCGCAGACCAACGACGTCGGACGAACAAACGGCATTCAACAATTTGAGTGACATCACCTTCTAGCGTTGTTAATGTCAGTTGAGTCGAAGTCTGCACTATTCGAAGTGTATGATGATGAACATGTATGACGATAGCTCATACAAGTTCTCCCTTACAACTTTGACCGGTTTCCTCATACTTGGAATGCACAATGCCCTTCCTGGAGGGCGAAGGTGGTAGTGTATATAGATAAGCCGTGATACTGTACTAACTCGTGTTGAACGACTGATGGGTTTATATTCTGCCTTTGCTGTTTGTCAACCATATTATACCTTACATAAAAATATATTACCTGTACATTTTAGAGGTACAGCTTTAGGTATAGCTTTACACGTTTTCGATGTTTATCCTTGCAGCCGACTCTCTGATACCTAGACACTCGCGGGCTGCGCATCTTCTGGCTTCGCTTCATACGATATCCTACCGGCCGGCAAGAAGAACAATGCAACAAGCGCCCCCTTCCGCACCGTTGGATAATGATGAGTCCCGGGCCCTGGACTCGTCCACCCAGCACCCTGCCATCCAGACATGCCCATCAGCTCAGCATTTGAATCTAACTGAATCACGCAATTGATCTCGCCATATGGATGGGCGTGGTATTGGCCGCTATACTCCTCCTGTGAGTCCATGTAAACGGTGGTGATGCTGAGGAACCGAGTGTCTGCAGTGGGGATCGAGATTTTGCCGCGGCGGTACTTGCGGCCGTCAAGTTCTGCGGATGTGAGCATCAGGGTAGGCTTCATAATCGGCTGTTTTGGCGGACCTGTCTCTGCTACCCATCCTTCGTTGAGGCCTTGCTTGATGTAACAACAGAAGTCGTCATAGTATGGATTGCCTGGACCATAGTCCTGGTTGAGTCGAGCTTCAAGATCTTTGCCAGGAGTCCTTGTGAACACGATGAGTCTACTAATGAAGTCAAAGATAACGCCCTTACATGTTCTCAATCTCATTGAAGAATTCGCTGCATCGCTTGACAAGCTTCTGCGCAGTAGGGTATTTGTCAAGCTCAAGGACTTTGGCTGCACCAGGCTGCATGGTAGACAGTTTCGCCTTGTCTGATCGATACTTCAATTGCAGTCTTTGTTGCTAGGTTGCTTTCGTATTTCAGCTAACATGGCGAGAAACCCTAGCTCTTTTCCCCGCTTTGGTACCACACTAGTTGAAATACGAACATTTCGGGCAACTTCGGCCATTTATGCTATCTTGAATTTGAAGTAGATACCGTCGTAGACTTTGATTCTCGTACCACCTGTAAAGGGCTTTCTTGACTGGGACTCGTTCAACATGCGGAAGTATACGTCTCACTCGCGCCCGAGTCCTGAATAGGGATATAGTGAGGGACGTAGTAAAGAGTCTGCATAAGAGCCTGCATGAAGGCGAGGTACTGATAATGCAACATGTTTGACCACGCTGAGTGACCATTAGAATAGCTCGAAGACATTTGTGATGCGTGGGAATGTCATTCGGGAACACAGACTCGGGACGTGAACAAACTTCGAGCATATTGATGTCGAGAGTAACAAGGTCAATTAGATGAACTACGATGCAATAAGGCTACAGTTTTGGTACCTATAAGGCTTTTAATTGATGACAACCGCTCCTAAAGAAAAACAAAGTTAAATAGAACTTCCGGACTTGATCCAAGCTGATCCGTTAGTCTCGTTAAAGTACAAGGGAATAGGTTGCAAATTAGTAGCAGCTGCCTGTAGTTACCTCGTGAAAAGTTTAAGCTTACACGATGTCAGTCAGATCACGCTGGTGGGGGTGGAGGTGGAGGCGGTTGATCGGACGGGGGCTAAGGTTCTCGTCAGCTTATCTGGTTTCTTTCCTATTTAGTCAGAAGCCTACCGGGGGAGGAGGGGCGTCATTCGGAGGGGGCGGTGGAGGAGAGCCCGCGCCATATGTCTGAAGAAGTTGTCCAAGATTGGCCATGCCTGGAGGAGCGGTGGGCATACCAGGAGCACCCATACCAGGAGCACCATAGCCTCCTTGCTGTTGCTGTCCATAATTAGAGTAACCGTAACCGTACTGCTCTTGCTGTTGAGCTTGAGCCCATGGAGCAGCAGAAGCCTGCGAAGGGGGAACATAAGCGCCGTATTGTTGGTCCTGACCGCCTCGACTCCCTCCAGCAGCCCAAGGAGGCGCGGCCGAGCCTGCACCCTCGCGGTCGTTTCCAGTACGGTTGGCCCATGGCGCAGAAGCACCAGTAGGACCTCTCTCCCAAGGCTTAAGATCGCGACCACCCTCTTGCTGGTTGTCGTAACCACCAGGGCCAGCTTCGATACGATTCTGACCTCCGGAGCCGCCGATAGCGCCACCACCAGACAATTCTTGCATGAGCGACTCATATTCGCGATCGACAGCATCGCCACCACCGATGCGAGCAGGAGGTCGTCCGTTCAAGCCACCAGCAGGAGCACCTCTATCGTCGTTCCGCCAATTGGCTCCACGTTGACGGTCAGGGCAATCACGAGCCATATGTCCGGCATTGCCACATACGCGACAAATGATATTCGCAGTAAAGTTCCGTTGCTCTGGGCAATCATATTTCCGGTGCCCGATTTGACCACAATTCTGACAAGCCTGATTTTCATCATCACGTAGAGTTCCGTTAAGAGCGGCGAGCTCACGCAGCTGATTCCGCTTAAGTTCATTCTGACCCTCGGGAATGGAAGCAGCCTGCATAATTAGCATGAAATCGAGAGTGAGTGAACAAATACTTACAGTTTCGATGACATTGTGGATGAGTTTCTTCGCCTTATTGACCTTTTCTTCGGTATCGGCCATGATCAAACAATGCAAGTCTTCTTCCTGGTTGCTGGTGTGAGCGGCGTCAGATCGGCCCTTTCCTTCTTTCACGGAGCCTTTGCCACGAATTGCAATCTTGGCTTGGGATTCCGTTTCCATCTTCTTGAGAGTATTACCACGCGGTCCAATGAGAAGTCCAACTATTAGTCGCAAAAAAGGCTGTGTTAGTCTGTGATCATATATGAAAAAATGTAATGGGACGCGTTAGTGCACAATCATGCTGCATGTTAGGAGAACCTAGGTATGCACCATGATCGGGAAAGCAAAATGTAGGACAAAGGGAAAGGTTAGAAAGTGAGGGTTAGCAATCATACTGAAGTTAATCTCCGGATAATCATTGACCGGTACGTAGACCTTCTCTTGGGTCTTGGTCGGGCGTCTGTAGTCAGAAGGCGGATGGTAGTTAGGAATAACTTTCATAGCCTTCTCGATCAACTTGTGACGTTCGTCCTCCAAGCGCTTCCGGTATCGATATTCACGCGTGTTGACACGGCGACCGAAATTGTCGTATTGAGGCGGAGGGGATGGAGACCTGCGCTTGTCAGTATCTGCTTATGAGTAGAGGGAACATTGAGTTATAGACATACCTGTCCCCATCAGCTGGAACAACATCATTGATTCTGAGCTTCTCGCTGATCTCTTGAATGCGAAGATGCAAGGTGTACGCGTCAAGCTGTTCGCTAGTCATGTTAGACATGATAGCTGTTGGAAGACCCATCAGGCCGGCCGCTTTGTTTTCTTGAGCATCACCCCATCGATTACGCTTCTTCCTGCGACGTGCACCTTCAAAGGCCTCATCGACTGTTGATTTGGGAACGGGTTCAGGACTGCGACCGCGCTTCATGGACGGCTGAACCGGGTCGTAGCTATTGCTTTCGTTGCCTGTATTTTCGCTACCAAAGCGACGGCGATTCCCCAGAGGAACATTGTTCGAACCAGTGATGCCCTGATTTCTCCACGCCATGGTGATGATGTGAAGGAGAGATGAGGGTGAGAAGACGATGTTGTGGCAAGAAAACTAATTTCGAGGTTGCGGTCGATGGCAGGAGCAGGCAGGAGCGCACGCTAGCTCCTGAACTAGCGCGATCTTTGTTCTGCACGTGTTGGCGTGACTCCGCTAAAATGATTATCCGTAGCGGAGATTCAGAATGACCCATCAGGACGAAGTGCGAATAATTCTGACATCATCCCAAAGGCGCGTTGCGTGTTGCCAATCATGCGTATGCGCCTGGTAGACCAGTGCCACGGCCAGACAACTATGATGATATAGCAATGGCCAATAGGATAGTATACGATTAGTGATACTCCTCGTTAAAAGACACTCTACTGCTCGAGACTATCCCATCATCTAGATACACTTGGCACTCTTGAAGATGCCCCCAAATCTCGACCTCTATACCGACCAAACACCCAACGGCGTCAAGTCCACCATAACCCTCGAAGAACTTGATTTACCGTACAATGTCCACCACATCGACATCTCTACTAACGAGCAAAAAGAGCCGTGGTTCCTCGCCATTAATCCCAATGGTCGCATTCCTGCCTTGACGGACGTCGGCAGCGACGGCCAAGAGATCCGACTTTTCGAATCTGGTAGCCTGATGTTGTACCTGATCGAGCACTATGACCCTGAATACAAGATCTCGTATCAGAGGGGTAGCAGAGAGTACCACGAGATGCTCAACTGGCTATTCTTTCAAAACGCTGGCGTCGGACCCATGCAAGGGCAGAGCAACCATTTCACGCGGTACGCGACAGAAAAGATCGAGTACGGAATCAACCGATACCAAACAGAAACTCGGCGCCTATACCGAGTGCTAGACAATCATTTGAAAGAGACCGACAATGATTACCTGGTAGGCAACAAGTTTACCATTGCGGACATAGCGCATTTTGGGTGGGTCGCTTGGGCGGGCTGGGCTGGTGTCGACAACAGGGAGTTTGAGTATTTGAAGAAGTGGGAAGAGAGGTGTGCGGCGCGGCCGGCGGTGGAGAAGGGGCGCAATATCCCTACACCCGATAAGCTAAGAGATATTCTGAGCGACCCGAAGAAGACAGAGGAGTATGCACAGCATCATACGAAGTGGATACAGAAAGGGATGAAGGACGATAGTGCATAAGAGATAAGCGGGTAAATCAGTGTATGAAAACCGCATATATGTCCCATGATCCTGGGCTCCTTTGCTTAGCAGTTCAAGTATTTGCCTGTACAGCTAGACTCATCTCCGTCCTGCGATCATTCTTGGGAGTACTCAGCTTCATGACGATCAGTAACCCTTAGCTCCGCCATGCCCAGCGCCCGGGCTCTGTTAGTAACTATACCTACTGCCTTCCGCCTACCCTTGGGTCTGACTAAGTTGTCCTTGTCGGCACTCGGTAATAGCGCTTTAGATACATTCACACCTGCATTCTGAAGAACATTCAAATCGAATTTCCAAATCAACATCGAATTGCTTCACACTGGTGTACCAATATCCGATCGAGGTCTCATTTCCTGAGCTTGATGCCAGCCCATTACTAGTCTCATTTACTCATGTGTATGGCTCGCGATGCCACAGCCCCATCATATATCGCTAAAGTAGAGGCATCTAATTATTAGCCTGTGGTTTTTGACAGCCACGTAAACGGAATTTCTGGAATTTCTGGAATTCCTGCCTGACTAGGCAGTTCGACCTAGCGAGGAAGGGGTGGGGGCCCCTCATCTATCCCGCTCCAGCTGACCAACCCAACTTGACTTGACGCAATAACGCTCTGTTTACAGCTCCAGCGGTCGATGTAGTCTTGCTCTCTCAAAGATATTCATGAGGTCTGCTGCAGAAGCTAGGTACGCGTGCCTCACTCCAAGGTTCATGTCTTATCCAGGCTAAGAAGCATCAGCCAAAGCTGGCAGCAACTCACTGAGATCAAGTCTCTTCCCGCGTTACGAGAAGCTGTCGACAAAGCCAATCCTGTCACTACAGAACTACGTTCGGTATGCTGGAAAGTGTTCCTGCTGTTCAAAAGTCTTGACCAGTCCGAATGGAAGACAACCCTCTCCGAATCGCGAAGTACTTATGATGCACTTCGAGCACACTTCCTCCGCGCCATACACAACCCTGATGAATTCGATACTGGACCTGATCCGCTGAGCGAGACAGAAGAGGTATAATATTCTTTCCTGCAGCCTCCAGTGCTGAAGACTTGAGCTTGCAGGACATCTCGCTAAATATCGAAAAGTCGCCTTGGGTAGCTCTCCGCAAGGACGAGGCTCTCCGTACCGAGATATTCCAGGATGTAGAACGCTGCATGCCCGAGAACTCGTACTTTCGCGAGCCTGGGACTCAGAAAATGCTTGTTGATATACTTTTCATATACTGCAAATTGAACCCAGACGTGGGCTACAGACAGGGCATGCATGAAGTTCTGGCACCCATACTATGGTCTATTGAAAGAGACGCCGTTGATCAGAGGACGATGTCATATGAGCTGTCAAGCCATGACGATTTGATACTATGTCTACTCGATTCCAAACAAATTGAGAACGACACGTTCACTCTCTTTGCTATTATAATGCAGACGGCCAAGTCGTTCTATGACCCAGGACCTGCCAACCCCAGCAATTCATTATCGACGACTGCAAATGAAACCGCTATGCTGCTGCGGGCGAAAAAAATCTTCGATGGCGACCTCGCAACTGTCGATCCGGAACTACATGACCACCTTCAGCAATTGGATATAGTGCCTCAGATATATCTCATGTAAGCTACGAAAGCATGTCGCTTTAGATGGTGTAACTTATACTTCAGTAGGCGTTGGATTCGCCTACTTTTTGGACGAGAATTCCCATTTGATCAAGTCCTGAGCATTTGGGACCTCCTCTTTGCTGAGGATCCACAGCTTGAGCTCGTGGACTACATATCAGTTGCTATGCTTCTTCGAATACGCTGGGAACGTGCGTCTCTTGCTGCTCGTGACTCTCTTTTGGTACACATGAACTGATTCCATACAGTCATTGAGGCCGATACGAACATGGCCTTTACATTGCTTCTCCGGTATCCAGCTCCTGCCGAGTCAGCCACGATATTTGTGCAAGATGCCCTGAAATTGCGTGATAATCCAACAAGTGCAATCGCACATGACATAGTCTTCGAACGAACGAAGCGATCGATGAATATATCAACTTTCATTATGCCCCCGCCTCGATCTCCGTCCACAAGGCCTCGTTCTCCTGCCAAGACACCCGCAAGATTCGTGACCCATCCTGGCAGCCTCGAAGCCATGTTACAGAGTGCTGCCAAAGACGTCTATAGTCGGAGTCGGAAGATTGGTCTTAACAAAGCTGTACGAAACGCTGTTGGTGAAGTCAGAAAGAACATGCAGGATCTACAGACAAGCCTCACCAATCCTCGATCCTCCAGTGAAATTCGTGCTGAGCTTCCTGAGAACCAGTCCTCGATGCAACTCATAGCTAGGGTATCGGTGCTTGAGGAACGGAACAGGGAGCTCGCGAAGATGCTTCAATCCAGTGTCACCGAGCTGTGGGAATGTCAGGCTCACCGAGCTGAGAATACCAAAGACGGTGACAAGGACAAGGCTTCACTTGAAGCTCTAAGCAGCGCAATAGCCAAAGTCCAGTTCGTACAAATTTACCTGGACGATACATCTATACCCCTGCCTACATCTGACGCCGAAGTCATCAGCAGCCCGCCGAGTGGTCCACCCGCCCAACGGTCGCAACTTCCGGTAGAAGACAAGATTGTTCCTGCGGGGCCTGTCATGTCTCAGACGCTCCCAAATTCGTCTACAACAATTGTTACACCGCCAGTATCAGGTTTAGCCCCCATCCCATTGTCACCAAAAGACAAGCCATTGTCTACAACGCCGAAAGATAAGCCATCACCAGCATCTCCACCGCCTCGTACTCGTCCGTCATTGGCTTCGAGTAATTTCTCTTGGATGCTATCACAAGACAGCCAGCCTTCTCGGACTTTCGCATTGACGACGTCCCCGCATAGTGGGCCTCCTGAGAAACGGAGCCATAGAGCTAACGCGTCGTTGACAGGGAAAGGGTTCTTGTTTGGAGACGAGGACGATGAAGGTGACGTGAAGGACGCCAGTAAGGGCAGGGCAGGGAAGCACACGAAGGAGAGGAACAAGGGTGGAACGTACGACGAGGATGCGGACGAGGAGAGCATTGACTTGGGCGCACTTGGTGGCTCGGTGCGGTGACAGCGACGATACATCTTACACTCAGGCCCTCGGTTGGAGCCGTGTAGCGTGCATCAGTATTTACTATTTCAGTGACATTCAATGATACTATTCTGCAGATCGCAGTCTACCCCAGTCATTGTCATCTATCTAACGCTCCTCCTCAGTCCCATGAGCCCCTTCTTTGTCGCCGTTGCTGGGCTCTTCTCCTCTAACCTTTCCGACTCCTCCCCAGCAGCTTGCTGCACGCCTGTCTCCATATCCTCGACAGGCCACCCCCGCGCCTTTCGCTCTTCCTTCCCAATCGCCACGCCCTCTATTTTCTTCACTTTTTTGCCCTCTTGAAATATCATCAGTCCGCCCATTGCAGCGACGATACATGCTAACCCAACAAATAAGCCAGTTGACCAACTTGGTCTGTCGTATCGGTTTAGGCCCCACATAAAGCCTGAAAGAACGGTTTGGAGGAACGTATTCCATATGTTCATCCACACGACCCAGTCCATCTTCCACGGCTTTGTCGACGGTGCACGCACGCCTGTGAGTGGTGGCGTAGGCGCTTTCGTCGCGGGGATCGGGACAGCAAAACTCTCGGTATCCAATTCACCAATATTGTCCTGACTGCCAACAAGTCTATACCAGTCTCTGTGAATCCCTGCCAACCGTCTGATCCCGCTCTCTTTCTTGCCGACGCGCCAGACGAACCACCAGTAGAGATCGCGAAACCGCCACGGCGCGAGTCCAAAGCCAGTCACACAGAATAAGGCATTGAGGATCTGACTGTCGATCTCGATCCAGATGCGACGAGGGGAGTTGATGTCGTTGCATGAAGGGTGGCACATTGCGGGCGCGGCGTTGCAGAGGAGCAAAAATAGCATGCCGCCCCAAGCGACAATGTTGAGACCGTATACGGTGATGAGAAAGCCCGGGATCGTGATGACCCAGTGCAGGTAGGTGCGAAGGCCGATCATGAAGGAGGTGGTCCAGGGAAGGGGCGGAGGCTCGGTCCATGAGGTTTGGGGAGATATGGAGGATTCAAGGTCTGTTGCGACGATGCTTTTGGAAGATACATTAGGTGCGTCTGCTGCGCTGTCAAGGTGTGTATGAGCGGCAGTGCTGAGGTCCGAGGGCTCTTCTCTAAGCGGAGGAAAGACATCAAGTTTTGTGCCAATCGTTGGACTCGCAGGAGGCGCGTTTACGGAGGCGCCGCTGCGTGCGCGTATTCGATTTCCTGTTGAGTCTTCCGATGCACTGCTTCTCCTTTCTCTTCTTTGGGCAGCCTCGTTCCAGCCCTCGGTACCAAATGATCCATGTCTTATGTCGGGTATCGTGGGTGCTTTTGAAGCAGCAGCTGCGGTGGCAGCGAGGAAGCCAGGCGGAAGGTCGGTATCAAGGAGTTTTGTAGCGCCGGACTTGATCGATGCTGCCGCTGAAGACGCTCTCGCTCTACGCGGCGAAACTGGAGATGTCTGGCCAGCATTTAAATCTGCTGATGTACGAGGGCTGGTTTGTCCTACGAGAGATGCCGCTGGTATATCGTCTGGCGCTGTAGGGAACGGCTCTGTCGTGTTTTTGGAAGACGACATGATTATAGAGGATCGGTAAAAATGTATATGTTGTCGCTGTATTTCCTAAGAATGTATGTTGGTATGGGAAGTTGGCAGTTCAACTTGTCGTGATTAAGCAAAACAAAGAGCGATTCCTGAAGTTTTAGGTCTTTGGGGAGGTTTTCAGCACCTAGCAATTGCACAGACGGACAAGGAAGGAGGTATCTGTGCTAGTATGTAAAACTGGTTCAGTGACATGCCAAAGAGAAAAGCTGCCATAATTAAAGGCTCTTGGCTAGTCCCTTGAGGCGAATGAGACATCGAACCACGCAAGCATGGTGGCTATTGATTAGGGAAATGGATGAGCTTGTCCATGAAAGGTTAGAGCTGCAAAAGGCTTGGGGTTGATCCGCGTAGTGATCCATTCGTATCCGTGTTCGGCCCAACCCAGATCGAAGCCAAGTCATGACTCGGCGCGCCAAAATTATGAGTCCCTAACGTAGACGTCGGCACTGGTCGTAGACGTATAATACAGCAACCCGACACTTGAACACATTGACAATGTCGCCGGCAATCACAAAGAATGCTGAATATGCCATATTGCCAGAATCTGCTGGTGTCACAAATTACATTCGAGACAATTTGGCAGCGCCAGAAGACTCTACAGACCACGTATTAGCTCTCCAAGTAATTCACAGCTTACGACACGAACACAATTGGACTGCGCTTGAACTCCATACGATATCTCCTTTATCGCCTTTTACTCTACTTCCACGTCCCCTGGTCTCGGGTCTCCCACCCCACAGATTGTACATGCACCCAGATGAGCAAATTGAGCTACTGAAAGAGGCAAAGAACCGCAAGAAGGATGCAGATGCAAAGACGAAAGAAGGAGATGAGGACAACAAGGGAGCCGAGACTTCCAAAAAAAGAGTCGCAAAGTCTGGTCAGCCATCTGGCCTGGACTTGCAAGCTGAGCCTGAGCGCGAATGGGTGTTACCAACAAGATTGAATGAGAAATGGAGCCTCAGGCGCATGGCCGAGATATTCGACACAATAGGGATCATACCTCCTGAAAATGCTACGACGGATACACTCCAAGTTCAGAAAACTGGGCAGAAGACCACGGCTGAAGATGCAGCCTCGACGAAGAGCAAATGGAGGACATGCAAGAGAGTGCTGATGGCTATTGTAGATCACGACAGCACGATCTCCTATTATATTGTGCAAGAGGGCCTTGTGAAACCACGACAAAACTGAACTGGATTTAAATATTTCAGCCATGCGCAACTTGGACTGATACCCCTGGCATCACAGTGCGCAATATATGCGACAATGGCCGCTGGACATGGAAGACAATGACACTTTAGGGCTCTCGCGTTAGGAATATTGAGTATCTGTATGACGGATGACGCAGACATGGAACATTACCTGCTCCACTCACAGTGAGCCATCATGCCACTTTCGACCGAGGGGATAGCAGTCGCCCGTGATGTTCGCTTGAGCAAGTCTTGGTCATCACTACCGCTGGCTATTGTCTAGGCGATGGTGATGATGAACATACAAGCGGTTAGCCTGGATGATACTTGGTAATGATTCATTCATGCAACCCTGTATGTGCTATCATGACTCTCCCATCTGTTCTACTCATACAGGGTTGCAATCACAACTCTCGCGGTGAGGAGGCTGCGCTTCGTACTTTTCTGGTACCTATTGAGGGCGAGACATAGCACGAGAAGAAGTCCTGGGAAGTCGACATTGCCGAGCATATATAATCCAGACAATTATATCCGTGCCCATGGCTCAGAACTTTTTGGAGATGACGCCGCGTGAGTATTCGAGATTTCCTTAATTTTGCCTGCAGGCTGCAGATACTGCGAGTCGGCGCAGGGCCAGTGACTTTTTCTCCACCACCAAATCTTGTTATCAATTTCTCGGTAGTTGGGCGAAGCGCTAACTTCGTTGAGTGTCTGGGCATGAGCGTCGTAGTGTTTACGCTGCAAAATATACGCACTGGTCCTGCTATATACGTGTTCTACTATAAAGTCTCATATCGGCCACACGAGGGCTTCTGTAAGAAGGTTGCCATCGAAGCATGGAGCTTCTGTGTCATGACTACAGGCACTATAGCGCATCATATTGGTTAGACGGGAGAATTTGCTGCGAGATGAAGTATGAGATATGCGAGGTTCTTGCCATTTTCTTGCAATTCAACTTTAAGAGCTTCCCGTCACAGCGTCATTATAAGACTACTTATATCAAAAGAGCATAGCGATTCTCGTTGGGCAGGCTCATCAACGACATGAATGGAAGTATATAGTAATAGTCGTCTCGTCTTGGCTGCAAGGTAGAGATATGTTCGTATGGTTCTCGGGGCCCATAACGGGCTACAAGCGGTGACTGCCCAGCGTCCTACCAGCGATGACTTTCATTATTTCACGTCTTTCAACCATTTGTTTGAGCACCTATCTCTTACTTCTTATCTCCTTCACTCTATACTGACATACACGTTATTCAAAACTAATGCCACCCAATCCTGTCGCCTTCCTAGCCCGATACGGCACAAAAACAGTAAAATTTCACATTTGAGGTGCAAAAGGCCAAAACAAAACTCATATCGCGCGGATCGAACCGGAGCTCAATCGTTGGGGAACCGAGAAAGCCGTAACAAACTGCGCTTTTTTATCCTGTTGTGGGACCACTAAGCCATGGCCCCGAAGTATTGGTACTGATTGTACTTCACGTTGGATTTTTTATAAAGAGTGGAAGGGTGATGATAAGAGTGTAAAGGTGAGAGCTGGAATCTGGCCGAGCGGGGAGCATCAGTGACGTAGCGGTGCGCGTGCGCGTACGCGGAGACAATGTTGTGATAATAGTGTCGTTAGGCTTCGCGTGTGCAGGTGAAGCGGAACAAAGTTCTTGTGCACTGCTAACTCTGGAGAACCACGCCAACTTACTCGGTTCACGCATTCTCTACAAGCTATCTCCAGTCTCCTCATGGATCGGCATCCCTAAGTGGAAAAGCAACGGTGTCGAGACATAGCAGTCTCAACTCGGTCAACGCGAAGACGGCAACGTCGCCCAAGCGTCTTCTTTGGAAGACAAGTCTCTCAAATACTTGCTCAGTACAGGCACTGCATGATGGAAGCGTGGAACGATGTGTATTGGGTGAACGACAGTTGTTGAATATGCTACACGCCTGCCCGCGTCGAACATCAGCACCATAACATTCCTCCCGGTGTACTATCATCCTTATCAACCTCTACGAAGCCATGGATTCAGCTCTCTACATGGTCTTTTCGGGTAATATGGGCTCCCTGCGTACCCACCACACCTACAAACTCGCGAGTTCTACGATGTCTCTCTGTATAGGCACCCACTTACCATCATACACTGCCCAAAGCTTTGGCAATATGTTCACATCTTGAGCGCAATACAGGCCGATATCTTGGATCAGCCATCGTTGATTGGATACTTCGTAGCTACCGCTGCCTTTGTTTGGACAATGAGCGATCTGGTATAAATGACAACACCGTGCGACTGCAAAGCCGATTCTGTATATTGTGCAATGGACAAGTTTGCGACGCCAACAGGCCTTAATGAATTCCTTTGATTGTCCAATATGTGTGCATTAGTGATTTGTTCAACGAATCAATCACATGATGATCTCTCGTGGGCACAAGAAAGATGTTTCACTGATGTACATTTCAGCTCGTTCATACATTATAATCTACAATGATGTAAAGGAATGTTCGCGCTAAGGATCGACTATGCCATATGATACACATTCTATGCAACGCAATGCGCTATGCAAAACTCAAAACCCCGCATCAAATTACTCCGCATCAATGACAATGGTAGTAGCGCTGGTCTGGTCGCATACGTAATCGTTTGGTCCATTACCGCCAGCGTGGCAGTAGGTTGGCACATCACCCTCGCCGTAGTAACCAAATGCCGTGCCGAGCTCGTGGTAGATGCGGAGTCCAAACTCGGTGGTCTGGCCAGGGTAGAGTGCAAAGCGGTATTTGGTTTCGCCGCATGTGATGACGTCCGAGGGGAAGCCTGGAGTGCTGGCAGAGCAGTCGATGGCTGAGCCGTCGTTGCCGGAGAGCTTGAAACCGACGGCCTGGATGCCGTTATTCTTGCGCACGTACAAGTCGGCGATGTCAATGTTCTCGTAGCTGGTTGAGTCTCGGGCGGTGGAGCGAGTGGGTGCAGCTATGGCCAGGGCGGCGAAGAGCGAAGCGGAGGCTGCGAGAAATTGCATGATGATGGTTGATGTTTGAGGTCGTTGGTTTGATGGTTGACGTTGTGAGTGGTTTGATTGTGTAGTAGTTGTTATAGTGTGCTTTGGTTGTTGATGAGATAGCTATGTAGGGGGCGGGATGCCCGTCATATTTATATTATACTTGAACCCTGTGGGTTCTCCTCCATACCTACATGACGGCTAGATCGACGTCAGATACTTCCAAAAATACCTACCTTTTTAGCCTCAGGAAGTCGTCGAGACATCACGATTGTGGAACGTTCGCGGTTGCTGGTAACTCAACAGTACTCCTCTCCGAGAGGACCCTGGTTGTGTTCAGAATGTCAGAACCCTATCGACATCATAATTTGCCTTCAGTAGCCAAACTTGAAAGGCAATAGTCTATGCGAAACGAGGCTGTGGACTCAAAAGCAGCCAATCGCATCAGTTCCGCTGGATACGATAGAAGCGAAACTCCCGAAATGGAAAGTTCCAATAGCCGCAACCCTGACTTTTCGGCGGTGGAACCCACCGGGAGTGGCGGAAAAGAAGCGATGCAACACCACAACCCCATCATCGCCAACGCCTCTGCCGCCAGCTCAATACGGGTGTCACCGTGTGTACCCACGCCGCCTCGACATCAACTCCACTATGACGCTGGTCACGGACTGCTATGTTACAACGACAGCCAGAATGCGAGGCTTGGGCACTGGGCGACAGACATCACGTCGTTGAGCTTTGATACAGATGAGGCGCCCCTTTCCTAATCTGAACCGAATGTTTCGGTGAAGCCATGGCCGAAGGTTTCGCGCCTTTGGTGACGGACGACTGCTGATGACCATTGACGACTCGATACGAAGCGTATTTAGTGTCAATAGGAACTGCATGGTTCGACGTGTCGCGTCCGCACAGATATCAATGGGGCACCAGCACAGGTATTAAGCATCGTCCCATGACGAACCCTATCTCAACCTGATTCTATCAACATAAGCTTAGATTAATGAGAGATACCTCAGGGTTCATGGGTGATGTCAAGGATGTTTGCACTAAGAGCATTAATGTAGTATCTGTCTTCGTCTGGGTGGAGTTTAAGCTACTTTTGCGGAGATTGTCTTGGCGTAGAATAGTAGAGAGCGGTTCTCTACGCTAGCAGACAACGTACGATCCATCGTCAACGTGCCAGGGAAACCTATGACACCACCTGATGCCAATGCACGTTGGGTATCTTTCATGTTGATGCAATCACTGCACGATTCCAGCTATGAAGCAGCTGGTACCAGCACCGAAGACCAATCTTCATCCTTGATGAACTGCTCCATGCTAGTAGTTGGGATACCCAACTCTTGAGGTGTGCTTATACCTGGATCATTGCCTGTGTACCCAAACTCCCTCACGAATCTGAAGTTATCAGAAAATTCTTGCCTCAAGACGTCGGGAAATTGCTCCAGGAACACATCCTCTGACATCTTTTCCTCCCTGGCGTCGACGCCGAGTACCTGTCCCCAAAGAGTTGCAAAGTCTGTCATGGTGATCATCTCGCTGACACCCAACAAGTTTGTCCTAGGTGGTAGATCGACTACCAATGCCTTGACGAAAGTCCCAGTATCCTTCTCCGCGACAACAAAGGGCATTGCCTGATGCGGCCCTGGAACTAGTGGGTCTCTGAAAACGTAGCTACCGTCCCTTTGCTTGTGCGGAGAGAAGAGCGCGGTAATTCTCCAATTCTCCGCAAAGAAGCCCATGTTGACCGTGCTCATCAGCTTTGCTAGTCCAGGCCTCTTGTCAAGAACGTACTCTTCAACCGCGGCTTTCGAATCGAAGTGATACACGGATCTGTACTTTCCTCCGCTTCTTTTACTAACATTGGCCAAGGTCGTAAACACGAATCTCTCTAACGTAGCGAGTACCTCCGGACTTGAGGCAGCTTCCGCAGCGTTGATCCCCTGTCGAGACTCCTGATCGTGCACATAGGACGGGAGAAATTGGCCAGCCGTTTGGGCAGCCTGTATCGTATCTGGTTGGCTAAAGATTGACCAGAAGTCAGTCATTAAGAATATTGCGTGTGCTCCCATGAAGGCAGCTCTGAGGGAGGCAACGTCATCCAGATCCCCTTGAACGATCTCGACACCTTTAGAGGCTTGAGTCTTAGCTGCATCTGAGTTCACGTTGCGAGTAACCCCGCGCACCTTCCAGCCGTTGATATTAAGGAACGTGGATGCGACAGAAGAGCCCTGTACTTTTCAGCGAAGAAAAATATTAGACTGGTTTTCGATTTCTACATACTTGACGACCGGTAACGCCAAGCACTACAATCAGCTTATAAGGACTCTGGGACATCTTATGAGATGCTGTTGTTCGAGAAAGCTTCAACAAACGTTTGGGTAGAGATATAAGCCACTCGCTATATCGACTGTTCTTGCGCTAAGTACACGGTCGCAATCTCAATGATATGTGGTTTCGATTTAGATCTAATCCAGGCGTAGGTGGATGTGCTGATCGTACACAAGGCGCCGGGCCAAGTCGCAAGTCGTGGCGTGCATTAATCTGACATGGACGGCACACGGGCGAGTTTGCAATTGGTCAAATAAGGTCTATCAGCCCCATGATCCGAATCCTCTGGACGTCATATACGATGGATTGCAGTGTCGTAGGTCATTGAGCATGGTTATTGGCGCGGACAATTGGCTGCTCTAAGTGATCGTTGTGGTGAACCCGATGTCTGCTTATCGGGATGAATGGTTTGGAGTCAACAGATACTCTGTCCAGAGCTAGTCAGCCGTGGAGCGCATCTTGGTCTTTCCGGGCTTGCGCCCAGGCAGGTTATTTATGTAATTCCTGTGCCCCGCAAGCCAGAACATGTGGGCCTAAGCAACTCGTCCGTATTGCCGCGGTGATGCAATGTTGATGAGCTATGCGCAAGATGCGGACGAACTGTGAATCCAATAATTAGAGGAATGCATTTACATAGAGAAGAGACAGAGGTCAAAGTTAATTAATGAGTTAGACAAGAGTCTGGGGAAAAGCACGCGTCGCGCGATGACGTAAGAAGCTAGGACGTCTTGGCGTCCGGCGCAAACAAACACCACAACAACATCACCATCGCGCAGCTTAGTACTACGCTCCAGCATTCAGCACAACCGTCATTCCAGTCCATTTTCTCGTCACTCCTTGGTCGCACAGTCGACTCTAACCGTTCTATAAGATGGCTCCTCGAAGACAGATCGCAGTTTCTAGCGACACAGACGATGTGCTCGTCGAGAGCAGCAGGGCTCCCCCTCCGTTACCAGCCTCAAAGCTTCCACCATTCATCCGATTTCCTTTGCTATGCATCATCAGCTTATCACTGAGCGCTCTTATGCTCACATTCATGGCTGATTTGACTGGTTACGAACTTGCAAGGACCAGTAAAGTGATAGACAAAGACTACGAGACAGTCTGGGTCGTTGTTACCGGCGCCTGGAGGATTGTAGAATTGGCTGTGGGCTGGTATGGCGGCTATGATGGTACGTCTTATCCATGATTTTAGTTCACAGACTGCGTCTTGCAGCAGTGATGTGTTCAGAACATAAAACTTACCAGACGTCGTCACAGATCTCGACATAGCCGCGCTCACCATTGTCACACACTACCCATATCTGTATCTCTTAAACACTTTCTACCTTCTTAGTTCGACTACGGCCACCGCTGCACTTGCAATCGATGTCCTCTCTATCTCCTTGCCTATCCGTCTATTACGACCACGTTCACCTACCCACTCGCCAAAGGCTACAGCGGCCGAGGTACCTGACAGGAATATCATCAACGATAGATCTATCATCTTTATAACAAGCTTCCTTGGATCCGGTATATATACCGTTATCATCTTGCTTGCGCTTCGTGTTGGACTCAACTCATTCCTGATCAACAATTTTGGTGACATTCCGAGCCTCGCGGCGCGCGATCTTACCAATGCTGCCAACCTGGTATTTATCTTCCTTCCAGTAGGCTGGGCCGTTCGTGAATTTATTCTCGATCCATCTCTGGGGTCTGAAGCTCAGCCCACTCTGAAAGACGTAGTAGACTCTGCTTTCAACCCTGCAACCGCATCTCTTACCGAGACAATGGAACACAATGTTGGGAGCTTGAGCAAGCGAACTAAAGTCGTGTTCCGTAGAACGGCTCTACTCTCGACATTGGCCCTCGCGAACACCACAATCCAGGTGTTCACACGTGTGAAGGGCGCAGAGCTAGTGGGCGCAGTAGGATGGGCTGCGCTCTTTGCAATGCCTGCGTGGGTCGTCGGCGGCGCGTATCTAATTGTGGGAGATGCCTAAGTAGAGTCAATGTGCATACATCAATGTTTAAGGCTCCTACTACGGGCAGTGAAGATATCCAAATGGTATATGACAGGTTTCATTTCAAGTCGAATATCTTCGCATCACAATGTCTAATACCATCTCTTTTCGCATTGCTTTCTTCTTCACCAATGGCGGAGGTGATATCATGTAAGATCCGAACCTAATAAATCGTGTATCAGTCTATTGACAACTCTATATGCAAGCAGACTGTAGTAGCACTATGCACTTCTGGCTCCAACCGCACTTTCAAACGCAGTCTCTGGATGCCTTGAAACCTCCAAAATCTCGATTACCTATACTAAGGAACCCACCAAATTGTAGACCAGTACTGAGATTCAAGCTTTCAATGGGTTCGCGAATCTCGAAAACCTCAGATCGGGCCAACTTTTTTCAAGGGTTTAGCGTGGTAAATCCACTATCTGATGTCCCAGCTCCGACATCCCGAGTAGAAAAAGTCGTGAATAGTAGATCAAGTCACACGACTCTACGAGACTCTCTTAGCACATGGCTCGTAGGATCCCCATCTAGGACTCAATCATTCAATATTCTAGAGGGCTGAAACGATTTTCTGGTCTATTGGCTACTACTGGATCAACGTTTGGACTAAAGTTGAATTCACATATTCCTAAAGAGGAGGCAAAATGTGAGGTTGATATTGTGTTAGGACCTGCCTGTATTCAAGCTTGGGAGTAGTGTCAAAGCATTTTTCGAAAAAGAGAAACATTATTATTTTATACGCGTACGACACACAAATGACTCACGACCCCGGTGAAAGCATATTGGTGCTGCCGGGTACTCAGGCTTTCTCAGGGGTGGCACACATCCGATAGTATATCCGAGGGGGTTTTCGTTACCCCTGGTATACAGAGTTCTGGTCTCGTCAAGAGTGTTTTTTGAATTTTGGTTGCCACTTCTGCGGAACTGGTACCCTGAATTCTGCAGGCAGATGAGCGTTGGCTCAAGGTTGGTACCTAATGTCTCTGGGAAGTGGACTTTCCACTGCTTCTTGTTCAATAGCCAAAACTGCGGGTTATTCCAGCGAAATGGGTGCTCCTGGTCCTCTGGACCAATAATCTTGGTATTCTCGCTGTCAACATGAGTATGAGCCGAGACTGCCATTCCGTTCCCGCCTACACTACCTATAAGTTATTCGTCATAGAATTTTGGAGCACACCCACGAAGGAGGAAGTTTGCTGTTATATGGTTCGATGATGGAATCAACTTGCCAGGAACACAGCTTCGAGTTTATCATGCGGTGTCATACGAATGCTGACACTTTCTGCCCCAAATCTGCTGGCAATCTCCCCAACAATCTTCTCGGTGAACTGCTCTATGACTTTGTCGATATTCTCGGAGCCAGGAATAATAGGAGGTTCGCACCTCCACTGTGATACTAATTGGCCCACTGGTATCTTGCGACTCACGGAGGTATGACTGACCTTTCATTTCGTGGATGGATAATGTTTTTGGTACAGTAGGAGTAGGCGCTAGCGATATCAGTGTGCTCTGTAAGCGAATGAAGGCAGCAACATGGGCGTCTTTTTGTACAAAATCTGTTAACCATTTGCTAATGTTACCTCACCACGCTCTATCACAGCCCAAGCCCCGGATTCATCACACGAAAGATATGCAATACAGACAAGCCAGTGTTGTGCTACTTTCCTGACGGTCACCGTCATATCATTCGCATAACAAGCCCGACGAATGAAAGCCAAGTCAACAAGGGAGCGGAGGCAAGAGATGCAATCGGAACTGTCAAAAAGACTCAAAGCCGCATATTTCCTATGCGAGGAGCGTCAAGGAAATGAGGTGCAAGAGCTAGATCCTATGATGCTGAGATGTGGAGAAAGTTTACTCTAGCCGATACTGACGGACTACACACAATTTTGGAGCCATTGCTTCGCACCGATGCAGATAGGAGAGTTAGCATCAAGGAAATTCTCAAATATCCATAGCTCGGTAGATCTAAGATTCAGCACACTCCGTCTACATCGACAGGGGGAAGGGACCATTCAGGCTCGGAACGTACCGTCGTCGCAGACAACATAGAGAAATAGTTTGAAGCAGTAGTCTGTACTACCAGAGATACTGAGGCGCGACCTTTGAGCGAGGCAAATCGGTATTCTAACACAGAGCACACAATCGGGGAAGAATTTGAGGCATTCCACCTAGAGTCTCATTCCTTGAGACTCACATCACTGCATGGCGAAGCATCTGCAAGGCTCTAGGACAGGTCTCCAACTGCCCGTGCCATAGACAGGACTGCTGAGATAATGCAAGGGTCTCTTTACCATATTCCTAGTCCATGAAGTCGATCGATGTCTCGATCCTACGCGAGCGGCACTAATGTCGGGTAAGTCGACGTCGTCTGTCCTCATCGGCTCGCTGCTGAGGACGATTCTGAGTGAGCATGGAAGATCAGAGATTGAATGAGGAACAGAAGGTCACATGACTACAAACAACGCCACGCAAGACATAGAAGAAGAGTCTCCATTGAGCGGGCAATAATGAAAGATACTATGATATGGCCAGCCCAAATGCTAGATAGCTCGTATGCAAGCTAAAAGCTTATCAGTGTTGGACATGGATTGAGAACTCTGGAAGAGGCTCAGGAATCGAGTAGACCATGCATCATATTCATTTATACACAACGCACTGGTCACTGTGCCGTTATTCAATTGAAGCGAGCATAGCTCACCTGACACGACAATAACTCTCTTTACTAATGATTACGTTTGTCCAAGTCGATTTTACTTTGACGCTATGTCCTTTGTAATATTTGTCACCATCCGTTGATGAAAAACTATATTCGCGCCAGATGCATCCCATAATCGCTTCTCCTATCATAACCTTCCAGCAAATATGATATAATAAAGAATCAACCCAATAAGAGCTTTGGCTTGTGCTCTAGAATACGATAACCCTAAAACAAACCTAAAGGCACACCTGAATGCTCAAAAACGATGGAATCTAAAAGATTCGATCCCCTCAATCTCCAAAGCAAAACTGCATCCCCGGGAATTGAACCCAGGGGCCCGTCGAGGGGCTGCAGAAACCGTTCCGCCCAATCGAGCGAGGTTTTTTTCTTTCGAGTGCGCGTTGGTGACCACTAGGCCATCAGTGCCGCTGACTGAAAGTGTGCTTATTCTTGTAGATTATATTCGCGCCAATCCTGAGATTTAGCGAATAGGCAACAGTCTCACTGTCCAGACAGCCACCACAGCTTCGCAGCCACACTGACCCCTAGTGAACTATGACGTGCGTGAAACTGAAGCTGTGTCAAATGACTATGATGAAGTGCGCAATCACGGCGTTAAGTGTTTGCCCGTCACCCTTGAGCGCAACACGCGCAGATCTACAGCCCTTGGTACTCAACAATGTTACATTGCATATGTAGCTCTATACATAGGACTTATTGCGGTCGTTGGAGACGGTGAGCGACTTGACGATATACACTATACATATATTCGATACCTAACATCCTGACGTGTGGTGATCACGACACGGTCAGTGATGTGTAAGAAGCGTGTCTGGTGACTTTAGATGAATGTGCGTTCTGCTCAAACACTACACCGAAGAAAATACACAGTGGTCACTCTCGGCACATAGTTTCCATCTAATCTTCTTTTGGGACGACAAAAAAAGCTTTGATCGTGTATGTTTGAATACGGAAAAGACAAGCAGAGAGTTAAGAAAGACTATAAGATACGGATTGACTCATACTTGGCTATCTTCAGCAGTAATGACGGTGATGACACGTTGTAAACACTGAAACCAATCTATCAGGAAGCACAAGGTATGCTTCTCCATCTTCGACCGACTCGAGTATGAACCGCCTTGTCAGCCCGTAACCATCCTGCCCCCTTTACCAATTCCTGCTCCAAAATCTTACTTTCTAGCGACTGTATCAATAAAGCTAGCGACATCGCCTGCGTGGCTGATAGCACTCGCATGTCCACCCTTGACCTCGCCAGTCACCCATGCAAATTTAGATTCAGCCTGCACATTATCAAAGAAAGCATGTTGTGCGGCTGGCGGAATCGCGTTATCAACAGTGGCAAAGAGATAAGCACAGGGAACATCTTTCCACGGCGCATACTGGGCATTGGAGGTGAATGTGCCCGCCGCTGCGGACCGAATGTCAGGCAGCCAGTGTGCGGCATCAGCGTCAGACAAGTCGTTGAAAAAGACGTCTCGTGGGTTTTGTACGTCGAAATAGGCATCGTTTCCGGGCTTGTTGGGTCAGATCGACGAAGACAATGTTGGCAAGGTAGATGACTTACGTGTGGAACAATAAAGTCTGGTGACGGTCCGTCACCAAAGGATCCCAGAACATTGTTCCCAGGTTCAACGATGAAGGCAGTATGGTACACAGCTGCAACAACGCCTCCCTTGGACGAGCCCGCTTTCTTGACGAATCCTTCGATGGAGTCACTTCCTACTAGTCCCCCATAAGAATGCATCACAACCACGATATCTCTTCCTGCATCGACTAATTTCTTGAGTTCCTTTTGTACAAGCGCTACATCATCACGGTGCGTGGCTGTTGGTGGCTCTATGATGTGATTGCTGATGAACTCAGGTGTGACAATGTCGCGGTAACCAGAGGAGCGTAGTGCGGAAGTAGTGACGTTCCAGAATGCCCTCGTAACCCAGGCACCATGAACAAGAACGATCGCTGGCTTTTTGGGATAACTTTCCAGCGCTGGAAGACCGAGAGCCAGCGGAAGTAGGAGAAAGTGTGTGAGAGTAGTGAACAGATGCATGGTGAACGTTCTTCAGAAGTTCAAGCTGAGACTCTTGAGGATGAATATGCGATGACGAGAGTAGATTCGGTGCAAGGTAGCCTGGCAAAATCTTTTGACAAGTCGAGTGATCCGGTGAACGAGGTTCACTATCGTGAAATATATAGTCGTTTCGATCATGAGTTCACGGTATGCCTATGCCGTTTTCACACCATCACTTGTCATGAATCTCGAATTAAGCCTCTCCCTGGTCGTCATCAATACGCTCGATAGCTGCTTAGAACCCTGCGATTCCATCATCTTGTCTAGAATGAGCACTGGCCTGTGTAGGAAGAGCAACAGCGGTAAGAGGTCAGAACGCCATGTGAGATGTTGAACGCAGTCTCGATTGATGCAAGATTTGAGATGATTCCGCGAGCAAGGCAGTCGTCTCATTGCGCCTTGACATAATACGCACAGGATGCTGGAATACGCTGGCGCGCTAGAATAGTTCTATGCCAAGGTACAAGGTACACGCTTACAGATTTGTCACCTGCATGCGGAGAATTTGGGAAGGGGCGCGATCAGCCTTACTGAGGCTCACTCAGCCTCAACTTAAGGCTCCAAGTCAGGCTAGGCTGTTGACATCATCAAGGCCCCCAGACGCGCTCGTGTAAACGACATTTGCGATGGACCAGTTGCTTCTTTATCTTAGTCTGTCACACGTCAAGGCCAACTGTGATTGATGGGAAAGTATGTACCGGGTAGCAGATACGACCATCCAATACCACAAACTATGAAGCAGGTGCGTATTAGTAGTAGTGGGATTCATTAACCATCCACTCATCATTGCCTCAGGGTTAGTTTGATCTATCGCCGAAAGCACAATTCCGTGGGAAAGAACGAATAAGAGATGAATTGAAGTCCAGACAACGAGACTCATGCCTATCGGTTTGTAATGCCATGTACCTGCTATCTTACTCCTGTACGCGCTCTGTTGAAGTCGCAGACAGAGTTCCAAGTTAGTTAAATGTCAGCCCAAAACTTTACATGCCCGCATTATGTTGAGATCACGTCTTCGCGATACCGCTATAAGCTTGAGTGCGTACTCTTAGCTTCGTTATTCCTTGCTTACCCCTTCTTCCCCTGATTCTGCACCTCACCCCAGTAACTCCCACTCTCATTTCCAATCAATGATTTCCCATCCACCCACTCCTCTGGTACTTCGTCCTTTTTCTCCCACCCACTGAAACCCTCCTCATACAAATACTCTACTGCCGCCTTGCCCCGCAGCGCAATCTGCGCCGACAACCGCCACGGCACATCCAACTTATCAAGCACAATTTCGCACAGCGCAAGCACACTCGGCTCCATGAAAACCTTAGATGTGATTACTTTCTCTAATTCAGCCGGATCCTTGGCCAATGCATAGTGTTCGTCGGGGCTCGGATGTTGGAATAGCGGCAGGATATGCTTGAACGCAAGGTTGTTGACGTCGTTGTACGGTTGGCGCGCGCCGTGTATGACACGTTCGATGGTGTAGCCTGAATTGTTTATCATGAAGACCACGGGTTTGACCCTGTCTCGATATGTAATCATGGTCCCCATCTCCTGCATTGTCAGTCCGAAACTGCCGTCACCTGTAACAAGGATCGTCCGGCCTCGGGGTTCGCCTTGCTCCGCAGCGAGTTCGTGCAGAGCGAGCTCTGCACCGAGTGCGGCGGGAGTGGCCCAGCCGATGCTACCATAGTATGTTTGAGTGAGCCAGCGGATTTGGGCCGGGAAAGCACAGTCTGAGAGACCGAAGGTTGGTGTGCCGGTTTCAGCGATAACGACGTCGTTTGGGCGGAGGAATTTGGTGAGTTGGTGCCATACGTGAGATTGGACGAGTCTGTCAGTGGGAGAGTTCTGGGGTGTGACAATACCAGGTAAGAGTGGTATGTCGGGTTGTGTTGCGCATTTCGGCTCAGAGGCTACTAGGGCGGCGGTCAAGGGCTTTATGAACGTCTTAGGATATGTTTTCCCTTTGATCTTGGCAATATCAGTATGGAATTGCGTCAGTATCTCACACCCGTGGTAACTTACTATAACATCGAAAGGGCGTACATCAATGCTCTTCTGTGGATCAATTTTCCTCGTAAAACCACCCGTATTAGTATCCGCAGGTATGCTCCCAAACACAAGGACAAGATCATGGGTATGGAAAGCATCGGTCACGCCTGGTGCGCTTATCATGCCGTTGTACAGTCCAACATGATATTCAGCTGTCTCATCAATGATTGCCTTGCTCATGTTGGCACAGTAGACAGGAATATTGAGCTTCTCCGCCAGCTGTCTTGTCTCCTTCCCAGCACCATGTCTCTGGACTAAGCCATCTATGAATAAACATGGGCTCTGGGCTTTTGATAATTCCTCTATAATGGCTGATACTGCAGTATCTTGAGCTGATATGTCGACTGGAAGAGATATGTCAATCGGAGCGTCTAAGAGATTGGCGGGTATTTGCTCCCAACACATATCCAAGGGCATGAATATGTACACGGGACGTGACTGGATGAAACATTCTCTGATGACACGCTACAAGGTTCAGTCAATACGTTATTGTAATGCGAAATCGGCTTACATCGATTTCCCCAGGGGCTGTCTTTGGGTCCATCAGTATCGCAGAGGCCACGCGGGCGCCTTCTGACATCTTGCTGTACACCTGATGGTCTGGATCGTTATCAATTGAGTGATGTATAAGCATTCTCTGCTTCTGCATCGCTCTTGTGGTCTGTCCTACGACATGTATAGTCTTGATTTGCTCGGAATAAGATCCAGCTACACCATTGATGGCGCTCATCTCACCTACCACGCATTAATACCTCTAGGAGAAAATTGAGGGGCATCTCATATACCGACTCCATGAGTAGTAACGACTAGATTTGGGAAGTATTGTCAGCAGCAGTAAAGAGAACCCTTATAGGCTTTCATTGCACTCACAAACCCCAGGGGTACCTTTAACACGGGCGTACCCATCTGCTGCATATGCGGCGTTCAACTCATTGGCGCTACTGACTACTAAGATTAGCATCGTTTCCTTATCGTCATTCAAGTAGCCATACCCCAATTGAGGCCTTCAACTTGAAAGATATAGTCTAATATCTCGAGGTTAAAGTCACCAGGGACACCCTGTCTGATATGAGCCATGACTTAGAAGCTGAGCTAGATAGATTGTGGCTCTATACCATGATAGTGCTCACTCCGATCTCTTTTATCCTGTTCCCTCGCGTGAATTAGCGCAAAAAGTGAATGTTATAGCATAATGAATATCGTTAAGCTAGAACACACCTTTTCCATAAATATAAGCCCAGCGGTATTGACGCCATGATGCCAAATAAGTGGACAAAAAGATCAACAGTCTATCGTACAGGGGGAAAATATCATATGTGGTTATGCACGACGAAGAGAATGGTCTCCAGAAGCAGAAGGCAGCTGACAACAATTATAGCAACAAGGAATCAACAAGGGCCTTCCGATATCGCGGGGTCAGATATTAGATTTCGATTTAATGCAGCGGCGCTACCCCGCTAGACGTGGTTGATGATTTGTGGCCGTGTTAGATAGTGTGGATCGTGCTATCAGGGTACTGGCAGACCATCCGGCTAGACCCGGGTTAGTGAGTGAATAATACGCTGCTCCTTAGACGTGCCATAGCAAACACAATTTGAAGAATATAATGACCCAAGTCCCGCGCGCATTGCGAACCGTCGCAACGTCGTCACTTTCGCAGGCTATCTTCGTGGTACTCGAAGACCAATCGACATGGCGAATTTAGCTTATCCATCGCCAAATTGATATCGGTTATACCTAAGCCTACATGAGCTATACAGACCCCAGTGACGACTCGATCGTCACATCGCACTAATCCACATGCTACAGATGCCCAGTAGAAGTAGTCGCCCCCTCTGCATCAGCAGCCTCGAAGGAAGCAAGTTTGAAATCGTAAGGTAGCTCAAACTGAGCCTTTGGATCTCCTTCAAAGGGCAAGAAATCTACAATGAGTGAGTCTTTGACTGCGAACACGGTATCATCCTTGATATGTTCGTCCCGACGGTCAAAGATCTGTGTTACTATTGGCCTATATCCGGGGGCGCTGACCTGTACAATCACGAATTAGCAACCTCGTATAGGCATTGTAAAAGACGAAGTAACATACAATAAAGTGAATATGCGCCGGTCTCATTGGATGCCTGTCCAGCAATTGTAGAAGCTTCCCACCCGGCCCATCATCTGGGATAGGATAACTTGTCGGGCGTAAGCAATAGAAGTCATATTTTCCATCCGGCCCCGTGGTGAACCGCCCTCGTAGGTTCATGTCCGGTTGGTCTGGATCTTGCTGTTCATACAAGCCGTTCGGAGCAGTGTGCCAGACGTCCAGCTCCGCGTTCTCAATTGGCTTTCCCGTATTGAAGTCTGTAACTGTGCCATGCATCCAGGTATGATCTCCATCCTCGATCCCAAACACTATTGTCTCGCCCATCTTGCGCTTAGGGGCATCTTTCCGCCAGAAGGGGCCAAGGATCGCGGTGGCCGTAGGAGCGTCGTTAGCTTCACCGGCGAGCGTGAATGTGACCTCATCCACGAGAGACTCGAGGCCTATGATATCTGTGAGTAGCTGGGTCTCATTGCGCTTATCGTCTGACATTTTGCCAGCCTGGTTGATCTACGCAGGGGTTAGCTGTGCTCTTGCTCGAGATATTCGCGGTCGCGAGGATCATACAAAGTCAATACCAGCCATCCATTCGTCCATGGTAATCTCATTCTCGCGGACAAAGTCATGCATGTGCTGTATCATACTTGAAATGACTTGCCGCATACGCGGCGATGTTTTTGGACCAGTGGCATCAATGACACTCTGAGTAAAATTTGGGTCGAACTTGTGCTGCTTAGAAGCACCATTGGTAGAGTTAGTTGCCATGACTGAGAAAGCTGAGTTGTGTGCAATCTGGATGAGGATGATATAGTGATGATCAAGCGGAGGCTCTCAAGGAGAATGGATTGTGACTGCCTGGCTGCTTTGATTTCCTCGACCTAGACTTTATTTATATTGAGCAAGCTAGGACTCTGTGCACTTTACCCTGCGGCCTGAGCGCTTTCTTTGTGGTCAGGTCATTCCAACGGCATCAGGCGATCACGGTAATACGCCCTCTTTAAGCCTGCGGAGAGGGAGTTGCGGGGCAATTCCATCCACGCATCGTCGGATGCTGCACCATGACAGCTCGGTCCGCGGACACGGAGATTGAAACAGCATCCGCTGGAGATACAAGCTGTTTGAGCTCCATTCAAATCCAAGGCTATAGGTCGGCTTTATGTTATGAGAAGTAATTAGGTATTCAAAAGGTGCAACGCGAGGTGTGTCATTGTGGGTAAATGCTTGTCCTAGAAATCTTGAAATGAACAGCCAGTAAGAGAGCTGTAGTAGTAAGCCGTTAGAGCAAGGAACATGATGCCCCGCTGCGGGTAAACAGCCCTTTTTTTTGGCTGGGCAGTATTAGACAATAGGTAGCTAAGGTACTATGCTGCAGATGAGCATGTTAAGCTTAGCCGCGATCACGTGTCTTGCTGAATCGCGCTTCGACAGCAATTGAACCTCAACACCAAGAATGACGATATAGCGTCCATTGCATCCCAACACATCACTCACAATGGCGTCAGGCTTTGGCATGAACGGAGGTACGTATCACAACTGTTACTCATAGAGCACATCGTCTTCCCTGAAATCCTCAGCATGTCCTCCTCTCCAACCCGCACCAGCACCGACAAAGCTCTCCACCTCAAGCTGCCGACACGAAGACACGCAGCGCCACGACCTTCAATACCTATTCCTCACTCATATAATCGATGTTTAGTATACGGCTAACCTGTTTTCCCTCCAGGCCCTGGCCGCTGCTTTCCCTTCTGGCAAGAAGTCCTCACCTGCTACGTCTCTAATCAAGAAGAGGATCCCAAGTCGAAGGCGAAATGCATGCTCGCGCTTGACGACTACTACGAATGCCTACATCATAGGAAAGAGGTATGCGCCCACCAGGCATCTTGGACATCAATATCTATCTCCGTTATTCCTCCAATACTCCAAAACCATATCTTCTTTCTTCCACGGCCGCCATGATCCTCACTAACAAGCCCAGGCTGCCCGCGTTGACGCCCTCCAAGCCGCTTACCGCAAAGCCGACTCCACCCGTGACAAGTCGAACGATATGACGGCCGAACAAATCCGCAAACTAGGTGTATTAGAGGGGACTTTAGAAGAGAAGCATCTAAAACCGAATCGGTTCCTGCCGCATCTGAAATATAACTGAATGCAAATCCGCATGAGAATAGAGCGGCACCGTGTAAATATAAAACGTAATTGCGACACGGCAATAATTGCGATCGAGCAGAACGTAATGTATATCTCAGTGAAGAGTGCTGCTGGATGTGAACGTCACAGATCGGCGCGGCCGGGAATATGTAAGGCACGCAAACAGAAAAGCTTAAGCTTGATGACTAGAATACTTCGCCAAAGGGCATTTCCCAATATACTGTACGAACCTTGTCAATTCAAGCTGAGTAGGCCCTCCACTGCCATATGAACAGACGTGGGGGCTTCCGCGGTACCATGAGCACCGAGAAGAGGAGCGAAGATAAGCCTCCTCATTACATGTCCCGCCCAGGAAATGAAAGGTAATTACCGTGGATACCTGTGAGTAATGCAAGCAATAATGGGAGCACGATATCAACTGTGGAAGATTGTGCACATGACAGCGGTGCCCTGAGGAGGCCTTAAATTAAGCCTAATGCGCGGCAAGATGCTATGGGCAAGGTACGGTGAATGTGGCCTCATAGGCGAGGCAGAAGACGCGGGATATGCGAGTGAGGTAATCTGTATCACAATGTATCAAATGGCCAACATGTTCGATTCTGTCTGTTCATTGCTATTTGAGAAGAAAACGTTCCTATCTATCCATATGAGCCCATCATAACAGCAGGACTCCGCAAATCCCCACTAGCATCAGTCATGTATGTAACAAAAGAGATTTTGACTACTTCGTGAAGGCTGCAACGCCATGATGGAACGAGGGCAGGGTTTTAGGGAGCCGACAACCATATGACCTTGTATTGTCGGTATCGGGTATGATGGGGAAGACGAAATGCACAGAGAAATAGACCAATCAACCATAACCGAAGAAGATGCAAGACAATGCTTTCAAACCGCACTAATGTACCTGAAGAGAAATCCCCGATCATCAGGCGAAGAAAAGAGTCGCCACATTGAAATCTTCCTTGGATATAGAACAATTGGACGTGCATTTACTTCTTGGAGGCCTTCTGGGCGGCCTTGGTGACCTTGCCAGCGCCCTTGTCAGACTTCTCAACGGACTTGATGACACCGACGGCGACGGTCTGTCTCATGTCACGGACGGCGAAACGACCAAGAGGTGGGTAGGCGGTGAAAGCCTCAACACACATTGGCTTTGACGGAATCATCTTGACGATAGCAGCATCGCCAGACTTGACGAACTTAGGAGAGTTCTCGATGGACTTTCCGGTACGGCGATCGATCTTCTCGAGAAGCTCAGAGAACTTGCAGGCAATGTGAGCAGTGTGGCAGTCCAACACTGGAGCGTAACCAGCACCGATCTGACCAGGGTGGTTGAGAACGATGACCTGGGCATTGAAAGAGTCGCAACCCTTGGGAGGGTCGTTCTTGGAGTCACCGGCGACGTTTCCACGGCGAATTTCCTTGACGGAGACGTTCTTGACGTTGAAGCCAACGTTGTCACCGGGGGTACCCTCAACAAGCTGCTCGTGGTGCATCTCAACGGACTTGACTTCGGTGGTGACACCGGCAGGGGCGAACGTCACGACCATACCAGCCTTGATGACACCAGTCTCAACACGGCCGACGGGAACCGTGCCAATACCACCAATCTTGTATACATCCTGGAGGGGCAGACGGAGAGGCTTGTCGGAAGGACGGACAGGGGGGTCGATGGCGTCGATGGCGTCGAGAAGGGTCTTTCCGGTGACCTTGGACTTGGTCTCCTTCTCCCAGCCCTTGTACCAGGGGCAGTTGGGGGAGGCGTCAATCATGTTGTCACCGTTGAAACCGGAGATGGGCACGAATGGAACGTGCTTGGGGTTGTATCCAACCTTCTTAATGAAGTTGGACGTCTCCTTGATGATTTCCTGGTAACGAGACTCGGACCACTTGGTGGTGTCCATCTTGTTGATGGCGACAATGAGCTGTCGCACACCGAGGGTGAAAGCGAGAAGGGCGTGCTCACGAGTCTGGCCATCCTTGGAGATACCAGCCTCGAACTCACCAGTACCAGCGGCAATGATGAGAATAGCGCAGTCGGCTTGGGAGGTACCAGTAATCATGTTCTTGATGAAGTCACGGTGACCAGGGGCGTCTATAAAAGAGTTTAGTATAAGAATGTACAAGTATCCAAAGATAACGTACCAATGACAGTGACATTGTACTTCGGGGTCTCGAACTTCCACAGAGCGATATCGATGGTGATACCACGCTCACGCTCGGCCTTGAGCTTGTCGAGCACCCATGCGTACTTGAAGGAACCCTTTCCGAGCTGGGCAGCTTCCTGAAGGAAGTATTAGCATGGGAACCGTGGAAACAAAACAGTAATCGGAATGGACAAGTGCTGAGCTTGATGGCGCTGGGAGGTTTTGTCATGCGTCGGGTGGCCGTTTCTGGCTTAGCGCAGAAAATTTATTGCCCCACTAACGCATGAAAATACCCCTCCAAACAAATATTCACCGTGTGAAAATTTGTTGCGCCCTATACATCAAGATTTGTTGTTGACAGTGTGGAGACATACCTTCTCGAACTTCTCGATGGTACGTTGGTCGATACCACCGCACTTGTAGATCAAGTCTGTTGTGACATGTGAGATTCGTTTGTTTGCAGGAGGGGTAAGTTGGCTTACGTCCAGTGGTGGTTGACTTGCCGGAGTCGACGTGGCCGATAACGACGACGTTAACGTGAGACTTCTCTTTACTAAATGAGATATTAGCACGGGACGAATGATTATTATCGCTGTAGATGTGGTGGTATGTCGTTCCAGCGAGTGATGTTGAGCAATGACTTACCCCATGATGAAGTTGTGGTTGTGAGTTTGTTGGAAATTTTATGGAAGTGAGGGAAGTAGTTGAAATTTCTGGACTGTTGTTAGACAAGTAGACTAGAGAGAGTCGAAAGGGACGTACGCAGAAACACAAGCTTGATGTTGTGAGGTATGCAAGACGAAGAAAAAAAAGAGAGGGTGTGGGAGGGGCAGAGACGGTTTTATGTGTGAGAGAACGGAGGGGCATTGTGGCCAGTGCGGCGGCTTAGCGGGCCAATCACAACATAACAGGCCGGATTCGAAAAAATTTCATGGTTACATCACAATGCAGGTTAATAACCGTAATTTCCCGCCCAATGGTGGTGTGTCCATGGTACGCCCACCAGCGCGATTTCACCATCGCACTCTCACCACGGAACCTGTGGTTTCAGACATAGGCCTCTTATCATCAGTAAGGTTGACTGGGTAACGGTAACAGAGAGCTGATGCTTCTATGGCTGGCTATGTTCCACCTTCGACATCGGCCCTCCCTTCTCATGCAGAGGTATTGCTGACTTTTGACGTCGATGGGCTGCTTCTAGGCTCCACTCAGGTACACTCGCGCGGTCGACAGAAGTTTGTTTCTCTTTCATAGCGCCTATTTTATCCTCTGCTAAGACGGGACTACCTCGCATCATTAATCGCTACGAGTAACGCCATATCTTTGGCCTACAACGTCTAGGTACCTCAAACCTCCCTTTCCTTTCCTTGTCCTTCAAGGCGAGAAGGCCCTTTATCAAGTGTTGGATTCACATAGGAGGATGGCAGCCCAACATACTAAGAAGCGGCATACATGCAGACGTTATGCTTAACACTACCTATATACGACATCGCCTGTACCCCCTAGTGAAAGAATCAGTAGAAAAAGGGCTCAACTCCACAAAAGTGAACAATTATGGTTATATGTAAAGATGGACCAAATACGCAGGTATGTCGATCTGTAGATTTTCAAGGAGAGCAATCACTGCACATTCCTGGAAAACGATATCGGCTTCACTCTCTCGGACGATGCAAAGAAGAGGATGTTATGACTTTAATATGCGGCTTCCAGATGTTTGCCCTGGGGTACAGAAGAAGAGTAGCCTGCATGAACATCGAAGATTCCGGCGTATGCTCACAAAATGTCGATCGGGAGGGCCCGCAAGCTAAGGTAAAGGAGCAGGTTAAAGACGGAAAAGGGAAACACTGGCCGTGATCGAATGATAATTTACCAATGATAATGCATTGACGGCTACCTAACGAAGCAATATAGCCTCGTTTCTAGGACGAGGGAGAGACCAGATGAAGATTACGACATCTATCTTGTCCCTCGTCACCACTGGGTAGGTACTCGAAAAATGCGTGGTCTCGAACGAAAAAAAAGCTGCAAACAGCTCTCTTACCCAATTCTGTACGCATACCGCAGTCAGGCCGGCCGTATTGGAATGGATGACAATAGATCGGAAAGAGCAAAGAGAGTACTAGATCGGATGGCTATAGGAACAGTCAGATAACGAGACGCAGTTGTTAAAGCTATAAAGAGATAACATAGCGAGCAAATTGTGTGATAAGAGCAGATCTGACTCCGTTCAACCGCTTCACCACCTCTTCTTTGGGTGTCATAAGCTGCAAGTATCTGCAAATCCTGCTTGAAGGGCCATTAGCTGAAGGCAGTCAATGTAGGTATAATAATGCAAGATCTGAGTAGGGGATCCAAGGATGTCCACGTTGTGCTTGGCGAGAACTTGAAGTCTTCAAGCATCCCTAACCGAACAAAATTTCAAGCTACAGCGTTAGAAGCGGTCTCAAATGCACTGCTATAAAGAGCAACGTGATCGTAAGCAGAATCGTTTGGAAAGGAGGCGCGTCGACGTCTGTAAGTTCAGATGTCTTTCGAAAAGGATTACAGATAACATCATACTCATAATTCAGGGGTCAATTGACGGATCCTGTCTCACCCAGGGCCCTCTGGTCTATACATGCATTTCAGCTCTATCACAAAAATATCTTGTGTCCTTGTAGGGTTTGAAAGCATCATGGATTTCACATCCTCATGACAGAGCGTCTTGATGTCCTCCGAAACCAAATGCGTTTCATTTCAATCCCAAGGGATGATAGGCAATAAGAATGCCGGTATATACCAGACGTATTTCAACCAACATGACCGATACCATATGCAAGCAGCCGTTCTTCATGTTTGTTATACTTAGTCTTCTCCAGAACAGGATCTCATATGAACCTAAACTTGGACCCTTGTGCGCTCCCAGACCCTAACCCAGAGAAAGTCAGCGCACTGAATGCTGAACTTGGAACCGTTCAATTTTGCAAGTCTTATTTCAGTACATTCACTGCGTGACAGTGCTATAGACAGGCCTCAAGTAGCATATTTCAAGCTTGGCATGCTTGATCCAACGGATATAAATGCATTCGGTAAATATTGTCTGCACATACGTTCGAAGGGACAGTCGGCTGGACTCGAAGAGTACTCAACTGAACAGTTGCTTCATTCTATAGTAGAAGCAGTCAGTTATGTTTGCGGTTTCTTGGTGCTGTTCGAGCGGCTTGAAAATAGAAAGGTGTGGCGCACCGAAACGATGAGATGTGGTTGAAGAGGGATGATTTATGAAGAATAGTGATGAGAGAGACGTCATTATAATTACGTTCACCTGCTCAGTCCAGTGCGCCTTGTATACCATTTAGACGATAGTGATCAAGCCAGGGCTGATTTAGGCTGCCGGATCAAGGCTGCGAGAATGCAGCTCCTCATGTGCAGTGATATAGCCTTTGGTATCATGTAGCCTGCACTGATCAAGCAACGTGTTTCGGTTTAAATACTAGCACAACCCATGGGCCCGTCTTATGCTTGACAGTCAAAGCCGTACGCTATACCATTCAGATGCTTAACTTACCGCATCATCCTGGTATGGAGAAAGAGGCACAAGCAGTTATTACTCGGTATATATTAGCAGCTTTGCTTTTGGGTACGTGTATTGAATATGGTAGTCACTCGCTAAACATAATTACTAACTCGTAAGTCTTCCCACCTAGGCAATTTTATCTATCCATTAAGAGTGAGCAGGCAGCTGCCAAGACATCACCATTCGCAAGCCCCGCGGTCCCTCGGTCTTCATCTCTGGACGAGCAGCTTGAAATTTACTTTCACAAGCAAAATTCACAAGTCACAGGGAAGAAAGATGCCACCAATTACCCCAAACATGTTGAACTCAAAAAAGGAAGAGCACTGTGTTGGGATCACGACTGAGCGGAAGTACTACAAAATAGGCGATACTTGGGTAAAGCGGTGCCTTCGCCCCTCCGAGTGGCAGATCAACCCTTATAATGGAAACTATGTGGTACCTAGGTTGTGGAAGGAACGTATCAGCAACGAGGCTGCTAGTATGAAATCTACGATCCCTGTCCCCAAACTCCATTGTTGTTTTGAGGATGATGAGGCGGTATACCTGGTTAGGGAACATGTCGAGGGCGTTGGTATGAACGAATTGGAACCTGAACAACGAAAGCAAGTTGAAAAAGAGGTAGAGGGATATCTGAAAGAGATGAGATCCCTTACCTCCAATAAATGGGGCGGACCTACCGACATCGTGAGTATAATAAGTTCGAGTTTTCGATGTTGGCGTGTCGTGGGACAAGTACTTAATCCGTATAGGTCGTCCCGCCGTATCGCCTTATGGTCAAGCCGGGTTTTTTGGAATGGGTGATGAAACCTCGGGAGAAGGAGGATCTCGTGTTCTGCCATAACGATCTATCAACAAATAACATCATCGTTGATCCTGAGACGTTGAAAGTCAAGGCTGTGATCGACTGGGAGTATGCTGGTTTCTTTCCGCCCGAGTTCGAAGGTATGTTTTTCAGAAGGGTAGGGCCATCAGTAGCATTGGACGGCGAGCATGATGACGAGGACGAGCTCTATGCAGTTCTAAGGCAGAATAGGGCTTGAATTGATTGTATGGAGACACCCCCTTGACCTATAGCTGGAAGAACAATTTGACAGAACCAAGGTTTAGCATTTTACTATCCGCCAGGGCTTTCACTAATCATCCAGTTCTGACTCTCAAAATGTCAACAACATACCCAGATACGATCGTCACATTTCTCATCTCCAAAGCAACGCGTGACTATGGATCTCACAACTGTCAAGCGTACACTCTCATGCCTTTGCAGTCTGAGTTACACTGTGCCACCATGTATTCATTGAAATAGCTCACCGCATTTGAAGCGACTAAATGGTTAGCGGGTTCTCGGTGTGTTTCGTTCATGGAACCTCACAATGGCAAATACCTTGCTTCTGGTTACGACTGGCGCCACGAATCTCCAGCATGGAAGGGGAAAATCCCCCAGGCTTGTTTCCAGACGCAATGTACGTACCAGCAACACCTCTAAGTGGTCGCAATTTAGTGCCCAATGAGTCACACACATCATGTGAAGTACAGTGTATGCAGGTTTTTCACTCCAAGGTCCGGTCGTCTGATGGTAAAACTTTACTTGCTAGGACCAGTGACATATTTATGTAGCTAATTATACATATTTACATTATAGTACAATGAGCCTATGCTTTACTTAGGCATTGCGAGTATGATAACTCTCTTCTGCCTTGGCCATCGACGCTTCGCTTTGATCCTCGAAATTATATACTGTCTACCCATGTGCAGTTTTGACTTTTAGGTCGCCTGCTTCGCCGTCGATTGTTTCGGTGGCTTCTCTACTCCGTTCCGGCTCTGTTATCTCTGTCTCTTCACGTAAGTTCGGAAAGACCTCCACAGATTCGAGTGGCTTTTCCCGTTCCTCGATTATTTGCGACTCGTCCTCACCAGGCTCAAGCGGGTCTTCATCAGCTGCATTCCTCAAATTCGTCTTCTGCAAGCTCGCCTCGTCGTTGAGCTGCATAGGTTCCTCCTCATCTAGATCAGAGATATTTCCCTCGTCGAAACGCTCATCTATAATTCCATTGGATTTGTCGTCATCTGGTATGAATGGCAGGTCTGAATTGGGCTGTTCTCCATTGTGCTCTGCGACCCCTTGCCTGGGGGCAGCCCATGCTGAGCTTGAAGGCGACGATGTCACGGGGGAATTTGTGAGCACACTGTCCTTTCTGTCTGGGATGTCTCTGGTAGTCTCGTCAATCAGATCTGCGAGGTTGAAAACCGAGTCGATGAAGTCCTCTGTAGCATCGACTGTCTGACCGGCCATTGGATCGGGCTGCATGTCTCGCACGCCATCATTGACTACGGCAGCATCTCTGTTCGGGCCTTCGATGTCAGGCTCCGATATAGGACCAAGTGAGAGGCTCAGCCGCCCATGATTACCGCCCGTTGCGCCACCAATACTTGTCGTGAATGACAATGGATGGATCGAGATATCAAAAGACATACGCTGTCGATATTCGAAGCCGACGGGTACGTACATGATTGGAATTGTGGTGCCAACGCTCATATTCTGAAGATAGTCGTTGACATGTAAGTGGGCCGAACTAGCAAACCACTCGGGAACGCGTAGTTTTATGCTGGGTGGAGCGCTAAGCAAGGCCCCAGATACGAGAGACGAATTTACAACTTCAACAAAATTTTGCACGTCCCGATTTTCCATGATCCTTGCGTTGGACTTACAGAATTCGCGTCGTGTGACTCGTACATCTATAGCGTGGCCAGGAAGCAAGTAGTCTGCCATATCTTGCCCGATGAAAGCTCGAATCTCTTTGAATCGGGGATCGCTTTTATCGCTAACATCCCAAAGCATTTCAATTCGCGGATACTGCTTACCACGAGGATTATTGACTGTGATATGGTGCTTCTTGTCCGCTGGGTTTGGGATGAGCTGCAACACAAGACGATTGTCTGAAAGGAGTGCCGGCGGATTCCTTGAAGTGAGGTTTGCTAGAACTCTGGATATCGTCGGAGTCGTATATGAGAAAGTCCTGTGGGAAATTCGGCGCTCTTCGAGCTCACGCATTAGCGATTCATGGGTCACGCGATCGGTAATTGGGTGGAGGACGTGTCCAAAATCTGCGAATGCCTCCTGGAAAACGTTTGGATCCCAAGTCTTACCCCTAGGATTTCCATTCTCCTGTCTGTTGCGAAGCAGTGGTATTCGAGCCGTCCGAATCATGTTGACGAGAGCCTCGCGGCTGCTAGTATTCTTCTGTATGGGATTAAGAGGCTCCAAACTCGGGTTTGTATGCGATTTTCGGGTCACCGGTAGTACCCACCGTCCCTGTGGATGAGACCGGTCTTTATAGGAAAGCGCATGCTGAGGGGATGAGACATGTATGATAGCCCTGTGTACTGTCGGAACGTGGCCAAGTAAAATGCTATGCCCCTGATGTGGATGGCCGATTATGGACCAGAGCATCCTCTTAGCATGTTCGATGTTATCCTCTTGGAAAGCGTGTATTTGTAGCTGAAAACATCAGCACTAAAAACTAGAGAGTGGCAAAGAATCATTACCGTTTCAGAGGACTCGAATCTTATTTGAGTCTTAGTCAAGTTTGCTACGTATTTAATATCATCGTCATTGATGAGTTTAAAGCCGCTTGCTTTGGGGATTGCCTTCGGCGATTTTCCGAGCGTTTTTGCTCCCGCTGAAAACACATGCAGGGGCATAGTCCCAGTCTTAATTTCACCAAGTAGGTGCACAATATCTTCAGCTGTGTAGATAGCACTCGTCTTGTCCGCAGTCACTCGAATCTTCCGGTCCCCGGTGGCGACGTCAACGTTCGAATGTCTCAAGGATGCAATGGATTCGAGTTTCTCGACACCGACTACATTGGAGGTTAGCTGCTCGTAGGAACATCAGATAAGATCAGAGGCACTTGCTCTCTGTTTGAAGCATCTTCAAATACCATGTGTTGGTTATGTAGATCTCCAGTTCACCAACGGACTCAATCTCTTCCAAAATTTGCACTTTCCAACAATCCTTCAGGAGACGCCTAAGTAGCCTCTCCTTTGTTGTTTCCCTAGACCGATTCAACGCGTCCGTAGCACGACTCTCGGCTGGAAATTCATGAACTGACGCCTCATCGAACATGGAGTTTGTGATTTTCGTGACAGTGTCGAGTTTATTCCGTTTTGGCATCCTTGCCTTTCTTACAATACGGGCCTGTAATTCGGGGTCCAACCGTACATCCAGAGGCGACGTGCCGGGTCGCCATTTGGTCCAAGGAACTGTAGCTTTATCGTCTGATGCACTCGGCTCCTGTTCCATCGTATGCGATTGTACATAACGCGATATTTGCCCCACGGTGAAGCCATCTCGGACCGTCTGAAGCAATGTCTCGTACAAGTCTTGAGTCAAATATGCCGCATCCTCATCAGGATTATGACGAGGTTTCAGACTATCAAGAACATGGTCCACATCTGTCTGTCGCACATGTTTCTTGTTATCTCTGATTGCCTGGAGTGTGGCCTCGAAAACCTCACGATTGCGTTCTATCGACTTAGGATTGACGACTACATCCTTGTCGTTTTCAGTTGCTCGCAAAGAAGCCTGATCTTTGAGGACTAAGATTTCCGCAGGTGATCCCAGGCGTTGTGTTGCTAATGCCGACGAGGTTTCCCTAAATCTTCCTCTATGCACTTTAAGAACGGATCTTGAACTACGACCCAGGTGTGTTCTGTCAATCCTCGAAGAGCTTGTATGTCGATGAGATGTGGGCTGATTTATCTCTGAGCCTGGCGCGGCCGGGAGTGATGTCGGAGGGAATGGGTCATCGCGGAGGTGTATAGAGGTGGAGAAGTATCTGCGGTGGCGCCATCCTTGGGAATATGGTAAATATTGCAGCGAGGATGACTGAAGGATACGGAATTGGCATCGAACGCATATCGATGCGCTCAGCGTATTCCCAACCACCATCAAGCTGAGGTTGGTTGTTGTCGGTCCATATGCGATCGTACGCATTCTCAGTTCGAAAAGTTCTGGCCAGAGCATACACACCGCCTAGGCTGCGCGGCAGAATTCCTTAGCTGCCCTCTGATCTCAGAGCGAACTTGCGGTCTGACAACAACGACACTTCACAACGCATTGTCCTATCTCACTCAGATCCTTACATTGTAGCAGGACCCATGATGTCTACACCCGACCATCTTGATCCTAGTGAGCTCGGCACGAAAGAGTAGTGCGTTAGGACAACCACAGCCACCTTGCGCGCTTCTCGCTAACGACGAGCTTCCATAGCTGGGACGCCACATACAGGCGGGAGCTTACGAATTTCGCCTCAGATACTTCTGACGTTGGCACAATATGGTTTTCAGACTCGTCAGCCGAGGAACGGACACTAAAATTTCTCGAACAGCTGTGGGATGAAGGTCTGTTGACAAAGGAAGATTCCATGAACGGCGATGAAAAGCAAGCTGCGACTTCCTTTATTGATCTCGGAGCTGGTAATGGGCATATGCTTTTTGCGCTCAGAGAGGAGGGCTGGGGAGGAAAGATGGTGGGCGTGGACTACTCGCCGGAGGCTGTTCAATTGGCACAGAAAATAGAACAGGAGGAGAGGAGCAAAGGCGAATGGACTGGGAGCGAAGCAAGCGTCATTTTTGAAAGGTGGAATGCTATAACACAAGAACCCGGGCCTTGGATGATTCCCGGTGGATTTGATGTTGCTCACGACAAAGGCACCTTCGATGCAATCAGTCTCAGCGAGGAGACGGACGAACAAGGACGAAGGATCTGTGAAGGGTACCGGGAGAGGGTAGAAAATCTGGTTAGAATTGGTGGGCGAGTCATAGTGACAAGTTGCAACTGGACGAGTGATGAACTCAAATGCTGGTTGGCACAGGGCCAGCTTGAAGCCGAAAGAGAAGTAAAATATCCTAGCTTTCGCTTTGGTGGGAAGGAAGGTTCTCAGATTTGCACGGTCTGCTTTGTAAGAAGACCGAAATAGAGAGTACTGTCACATCACTTACCTCACTCTGAGTCGAGGGACATCAGTTCTATTAGCCCTGAGCTTGACAAGAATGAAGTCGACATTTTGCAGCTCATGCTGCCACTCTCTCCGTTCGCCATCGGCATCCAGCTCAGAACTGGTGTCAACCTCTACACTTTTCTGATTTCGCTCATCCACGAAGAACGGTACCGTCTGTTCATTCCTGTATGGACCTACTATTGATGAAAGCTTTGGCAACTACGCATGAAGTGAGGAGAAAATCTACAACAGATCTCGTTGGGCAGACGTGGTTGTTGGGTGTCCACGAACCATCAGTAGCGAGAATCCGTGTGAAGGACGCTTTGTTACCCATGGCAAAGGAAACAACGAACACACCTTATTGACGGCATTCAGCACACACATTTGTTGACTTGCCTAGGTTCGTCTGGATGTCCTTGTCGATAACGGTCAGTGTCTCGGAAGCTGGGTAGTCTATTATAATAAAGCCCAGACTAATGCCGCGACGATACCAACAAGCCCAAGTCCTAACTCCTACCATCAGTCAAGCGCCAATCGTCATTCTCCAGCTCGCTCGTCCACCACCCCTTGTTTCCATTCCGATTCTCACCCATCTACGAAGTGCGCCCACCTCTCTTCTCAACACCTCATCAACACCACTCACGACGCACTCACAGCTGCCTTCATCCCCCTATCATGGTTCTGTCGTTTGCGCCTTGGAAATGCTGCCTTGCCTCGTACGAACCATTGCAATACTAACAGCATATGAGCCAGGAGATGGAAAAATATACTCAGTTCATCTCTCGCCCAGACAATCGTCAGCACAGTGAATGGCCCAACAAGCAAACCAAATAGCGTAATTAACGGTGACCTCACTTATAAGTCCTGCTGGTTCGATAGAACTTGCTATTCACGCTTATGTATTCGAATGTGACGGACGAGCGAGAGAGTTTTGCGCATTATCTTCAGGAAGCCTGTCTGTTGATCGCGGAAGTGGTCGGGGGACGGCCGGGCAACGCCCAATCTGTGAAGGCAACGTACGGAGCTGTCAAGTACTGGGTGTCTCTAGCTGTACTGTAGTTAAGGCGAGGAAGTCATTCAGTAAGCATCTAAAGTCTGAAGGACATTGCGGGATTAGGTGGTAATTTGGCGCATGTCTCAGGGAAATCAATTGCTCAATACTCCTGTACAGTCTTTCGGATCCGCAGCATCGACGATATGAATGACCCTCAAATGGCAACCTATCAAGCCTGGCCAGGAGTAGCTAGTCCGGCGAGTAGGCAATTCATTTCCACGACTACATCTCAAGGCCCCTGAATTCTGAATCCAGATGCCTGTAATTAACAGCCCTCCCTAAGACTATCAATACACAAACTCCACATTCATAGCTTGACCAACATCAGGCGCTAACAAAATACAGTAAGCCACTACGCTTCCACCGTAGGAAGACACACTCAAGTACCAACGCCAAGAGTGCAGATCCTTGTCACTAAAATAAGCCCATTTCGATCCTCATGAATGATTTGAAAGTATATGATCCCATGTCCGCGTTGTATACGACTCTGCAAATATTTGCATAAGTTTCATATATATATGCATACAACTCAGCATAAAGTCCCACGCGATATCAAAAAGTCTTCTTTGACTCTGCCGCCAAACCACGCATAGGACGAGTAATACGTATGAATGCATGGCTATCTGCACGATATAACCTTATAACAACACTATGGGAAATGAAATGTAAAAGCTGGACGGATTCTCCACCAGTGGACCGCTGCACTCGCAAAATGCGTTGATCTCGTTCCTGTTTGCCTTTTGGTTCGAGATCACCGTGCAGGAGCGTGTTGAAGCGTGGAGAGGGGGTTGGTGAGAACTTGGGATGAGACTTATGTCTAGTCGGTCGATGATACATGGTGATAGGAACGAGCAAACGGACAGGCTGGTGAGTAACGAGCGTGCTTTATAATCGCAAGCATGGTATTCGCCGGATGATGCGATTCTCAACGCTGGGAGGTAGTTAGCAAGGTGGTGTGGCTATTCTTAACGTCTATCCTGCCTGGGTCTCTGGGGTTCTTTCCAATTGTGTTGACTGTAATTCAAGCCCTCGAACCGCGTATTGTTGGTAGGAGGGATTGCAGTTATCACTTCGAGCAGTCTTACGCAAGAGAATGTCACAATTACGGCCGTAGGTACACTTTTCTGTCTGAGATTTAGTATATACAGGATGTGACGACGATTACACAGCATGTCCACCGTAGTCTGACATGCATGAGTTATATGAGGGCTTACCGTTGCCCTGTAGTTGTTCACTTTTTCTTGGTACATGAACATATTGTATCCAGAGATAGCTAGGGCTGCACGCAAGGGAATAAGGAGAGTCTTGCTGGGCACTTCCGGAATTTGAGATGTTGATGTTAATGCTCCACGACGGGTAAAGGTCGAGTTTGCAGAATGTGAGAGATCACAAGGGAAGGGGTGACAGGGGCCCGATCAGAAGGTTAGCTATTTGGCAACTGTCCTAGATAGACTCCTGAGTAAGGCCTTTTGCTGGTCGCTATCTACTTGTTTAGTGATAATGGGTCAGCAGGAGGTTCAACAGCGAGTTTCCACTCGCCTTCGTGTACAACAGCGATTCGTACATGTAGAGAAATGATCAGTAGTTCGAGCAGTATCATTGGGACAGGAACAGCAACGTCAAAAGAACACTCATACCAGTGAAGGCAACAAAGCACTTGTCAGTCCACCATTAATCGTCTGTTTCTTATCGGGTTGAATAAACTCCCTGTCCACAGGAAAGCTTAGCGTTCATGCAAGTGAAAGCCCGGAAATGCCGTCAGCGGCACCACTTGCCCGTTTTTCCGAAGTTACGGAGACTGATCGTCAAGCTTACTGTCTCTGATAGGGTACAGTGTGGGTGATGTGCATCTCGAGTGCCGAATGTCGGTCGGTAGGAGATAGTCACGGTAGTTATGTCTGACATCTTTCCCGAGATGGCTCGAGGCTCACAGCCACGCGTATATTCCAAATATAGATCTTAACTGTGTGGATATGCAGCGAACGACCCCGAGATGCGTATGACTACGAACATGTGTTCACCACTAGTATTGGTATGACGATGTGAAGCTCACCATATATCCATGTCACTGCTGTGTATTCGTAGTGAAATGTGGGAGATGGCTCTAGACCATCCTTCAGGTTGGAAGAAGTCTTGGGGAAACCTTCCCTGCATTTAGTTGTGTATTTCTGATGGCAATGTTGAGGAAGTGGTGGTATAAGTGATTTTATGGATAGACGAACAAAAAACGGTACATCGAACGATGATGCGAGCATGCACCAAGTCACTCGACCAATTCATGGTAAAGTAGCTTGTGTTGGTCGTTCACGTCGTGTTTTGCCTCACGAAGTGTGCTGACATACAGTACTGTAAGCGAACAGTTGGATTCATATCGTCCAAGACTGTTTGGTGTGGCCTTGATGCACTGATCGTTCCATTACCTTGACACTCAAACGATGTCGTTCGGATCAGCCGAGCGTTACATGTCAGTGTGTTCCATGCGCGTATATACGCCACATAGATTCAGGAGTGAAGGAACACAATACAAGCCTCTCCTTGACAGTGGAAGGATAGAAGTCCGATCTAAAACATGCTTGCTATCTGAACTTAGAATAGAACTATGATGTAAAGAGGGAGATTGAAAGAGGTCTGCGTCCAGGAAATGGTTCCATTGACGCACACTGAAGACCTACCAGGGGAGGTGCAATTAAGTCGAGATGTGGTGTGCTTGACAGGGGCACAGGTTTTCATACAGATCCGTCATTTCTTTGATACAGTATCGCGTCTATCATACCGGGGAAACTAATGTTGTGTACAGTCCAACCCTGCAACTGCTGGGTTCATTGTCCGGTGGCAAGGTGAGGCTCGGAGCATGCACGCCAGATAGAATGCACAGATATGAAATGCTGAGCGAGAGAGGTATGAGATGAGTTATGCTGGAAATGGAATAGAAGTGGAGCAGAAATCTCACGATAGGTTACACTTGCAGCAGGTCACGATGCCGAAAGCGGGCGGGCACTGTCAGTGATGCGAAGGTATATGCTATTTTTAGCACTCGATGCACAGATTTCAGATGAACGATGAGGCTGTGCCTGCGGGTGTGAAAGAGCTAAGCGGGGCCTAACCGGGGCCGAGGCGCGGTACAGTTAGCGATGCATTTTTAGCGGTTGGCGGTACCGGCCACCCCCCCTAAACCCCCTAAATTCCCCCTCAGCATCCAGCGCAGTTCGCAGTGTACTGTAGCAGCATCCTCGCACGATCGTCGTCGTTGTCGGTACATGGCTAGTTGCATACGCTGTTGCAGCTTGCAGATTCTAGCCTATGTTGACAATTGTCGACCAAGAAAGAGAGTAAGGCATGCGGCCTTTCCGACGACTATCAAATTTTTGCTTTGGCTCGCCTCGCTCCAGCGGAGTCCACTTGGCGGGGCACAGCACAACCAAACAGCCAGAACTCAAACTAAGATTCACTTTCTCCCATCATCTCATCATTCCATCCATTCCTGCTCCCATCATCTAATTCTGTTACTGTCTCTGCACGCGACTCCTTATGAGTAATGGCGGCTTAGACCCTTCACACTAACTCCCCCATCCTTGTGGCTCCAGCAACATACCAACACACTTGACACAACGTGGACTATTTGCTTTCTGTCGCTCCTACGCAGTCTTCAATCCTTCCGCCTCCCAACTTGCTCCAAAAGGAACAGTATTCCTCTGCTGTCTGATCTCTGGTCTTTCAAGAGTGCCTACTTACAAAAATTCTCACTGAGAACCTTGGAACGCCTTGCGTGCTGACTACTGTGCCATATCGCCGCCCTTGGATTAGACATACCGCATCTCGTCAGTCCAGTGGCACATCCCTACATTCATCTGGTAAATAACCCTTATACCCCGTCTATTTCTTTGCCACTTGCTCGGCTGCAATATTACTGCTTTCCTGACTGCATGCATCGGGCTGCATAACTGTACCCTCTTCCGTCATTTTTTTGCCAAGATCCCTGCTCTGTTTACTCTTTTATTCATTGGATCGACGTTCGCTTCCGCACTACATATCCCTAACCAGGCTCGCTCACAATGCATCGCCCTCTCCAAGGGACGCTGCCGATCCTGTCGATCCGAAGCACTGACACTGACTACTGCAATTCAGCCATCGCGCTACTCCACTGCACGCCTATCGTACACCCATCCAACTGGAAAGCTTATATGGCGCCCAGCCAGCACCATCTACCGCTCCATCATCGTCGGACGCCTTCCCAGCAGAGTCGGTCATCTTCTCATGATGGTTCACTGCCAGACCAATCCGCTTACCGGACTACTGTGAATAGCCATACGGAAGATATACATCTAGCACCTCCACCTCTCTTCTTCAGCGGGGGCCGTAACAGGAATAGGAAGCCTGCTGGCTTGCGAGATCTTATGCGTCGTAGAACGGAAGGAGATTCGGAAGAGCAACAGGACGAACAACCAACGAGTGGCAATTCAGCGTCACTACTATCTCCCAACTACCAAACAGAAGCTCAACCCATCCGTTCAGCGCCGCCAACTGTAACGACCTATCAACAAGCTCAACGCTCACACTCGCAGCCACCAGGGTCGCGTGCAGTCTCGAATCAATACCCATCTCCCATTTCTTCTTTCGACAGACCAGACGGCGAGATGTACGGCCAGGCCAGTCACGCTTCAGAGCCGTGGGCGAATAATTGGAGCATTAGACCAGCCTCAACTTATCCTCCCCCTCATGCATCACAACACTACGACGAGAGGCCACATTCCTACTACGCGGGACAATCACACTCGCATTACCAACCCCATGCCTCCTACACTCACCAGGAACCGTACCACACATACCAGTCACAATCACAACTACAGCCACAACTTGAGATCTCTCCGCAGCCCTCACAAATGCACCGTGAGAGCGTGGATGAGGGTTTCGATGACCCTACTGAATCAGCAATGTTCGCCGAAGCACTCTCTGGGTTCTCAGGCCCTAGCACACCGTTTACGCTACAATCGCCGCAGTCACCTCCCGCACACACCGCATACCTGTCCCACACAAGCCTCCTTCCCCCGGCATCACGGCCGCCTCCTATTCGCACGCAGACTGCCAACCTCCAGCAAACCACATCCAACGTCTACCTCCAACCTTCAAGTAGCTACAGCTACTCAAGTAACGTTAGCTTCAACGACAACCGAAGCCCCAATCACGCCATGAACCTCGCCATTCTCAGTATATCCGGCGACGAAGAAGACCGTCCACCCGACGAGGAACTACCAAACTACGCGCAGAGCCAGGCCGAAGAGGCGGCGAGAAGACGTTACGAAGCAGCGTCGCGAGCAGCGGAGTTGGAGCAACGGTGGGCTGCAGGGCGTCGGAGACATTAGCAACATGGATGCACAGGCACTCGCACACTCGGACATAAAGCGGTCACAGCGATCTGCATTTCTGCGCGTTATCAATCGTCATAATTACATTTTTTACAAGATACCCATACGTGCGCTTTGCTATTTTTTCTTGTTTCCGCTTTTGTATGTGGAATGTCTCAAAAGCATATCTCATATTATTCTCTACATATTCTCAATACCTCTCTCTTCCTGTGCATCATCCTACCTTTACGCAGCGTATGCTCGTGACGCACCGGACTTTCACGCCGACCCCGAGGCTTGCTTTGATCTCACCTATGGCGCACGCTAAGTTCGACTTATTCCGCGAGGTCCTTCAAGCCACAGCAGGGGCCACGAGGTATTAATAGCAAGCTGTCACGAGACATGAAATGTTGCAACCGGAGACGCCACAGCAATCTCTGCGCTAAAATATACTGTAACATGCCTGTTTGTAACAGAAGGTAAAACGCATTCTAGCTACAATAATACATCTAAATCAAGCTAGAAGTGGACGCCCGGGCGTGAGCCCAAAAGATGTACATAAAAAGCATCTAAGGGTATGACGTTGTCATCTTGTCAAGTGACGCTGATCACTGACACGAACCGATTCGAACATCCTGTCTTTGCTAAAGTACATGCCATTCACGAAACCATTAACTACATCAAGAATGGTAGGGATCGTGTTATTTATGAAGCCAATGGGATGATCACCTCAACACGGTACGGAATTAATAAGTTTGTCACGTCAGTAAATACAGCAATCAAAGTCAAGCCAGAAGAACTCAAAGACGGTGTCCCTGTTTGTTAATCGCATACTGGTGAGATTCCTACAAGAGCGCCAAGTGGTTTGAAGAATACCACGATTCGAGACGATGACGAACCTGTAATATTCGTTGCCTTGTGGGCAGGGAGATAGAGTCAAAAAATATACCATGGTCCAAAGCATCTCAGTTAAAATACCATACCCACAAGGACCTTTTGTCTAAGGGTAAATCTTGTTCGAGTTTGGCGAGGACGCCACGCCACAAGCAGCGCCATATAGATAGCTCACAAGGCCGACCACTGGATCTTCTTTCAACAACTCGAAATAAAGTCCGGACGTGACCTCTTCAGTGGGGCCTGGACGCTCTTCTAGGCTATATATTTGATGGTCTTAGTAGGCAGCCGAGGGCAAGATGTGCGATATATGTAGTCTTACGCAGTCCCCAGGGGTGATTGTGTTAATCACGTCTTGACGCAATTTGACGTCGGTCAGACCTTGCATTAACTGCCCGACCTGATCCAAGGCGTTCTCGCTTTGAGGTGGTCAGTCTATTTCATAAGTCTTGCTCGGACTAAGGAAGTCGCCCAAATCAGTCACAATGTACCGGAGTAAAGCTGGGCAGGTAGGTATATATGTGTCATCATTGTACTGATATAGTGGTTTTATCTCTAGCTCTCCTATCGAACAGGAAACCCGAGACTATAACAACAAACACCGGCTCTATATTGATTTTATGTACAGTCCAATTGTTTTAAAAACTTCCTTACGAGAACTATGGCTAGATACAGTCACGTTGAATACCAATTGCTGACTTGCCGCTTATACAATAATTTGCTGTTCCCTTTTTCACAGACTCGACTCGACTGATCAAAACAGGTGTTGTAAAAGAGAAGGTAAATATGTCTATAAATCTATCTGTAGTGATAGAATATCAGAAGTTTTGATACTCCTGATCCGGACTACTCTAGTATAAGTTCTCTTCTGACTTGTGAGGCACTCCAACCCGAGGTGAGCCTCATATCGAATGGTCCGATTGAATACAATCGAGATCCTCAAATGGGACTGGGCGTACCGATGTAAGGTCTGACGGGAAATCAAACGTGTCTGGTCCATCAAGATTCATGAACCATGCTCTCTTGACTCGATGTAAGTCTGGATGAACAGCACTAATGCAGCAAAGTACATCGCAACCACAAGACATGAAACGAGAGAACCGGCATGGAGAATCGCGTACAAGGCGCCCATGGGCGTGGTTTGGACTAACGTTGAAGACAAAGGAAGACCCCCAGCAGAACAAGAGAATGTCTACCACAGAGTACTCGGATGACCTCTTGCTTCGCTTGGCTACTACTTTCCCGCAGGCCCTGACGAGCTGTTTCACGGCCTGTAGTTTGTGATACTGTTGAGATTGTTGATCATTGCGTTGAGTGTCGGTTTGTATGTGTTTCACTCCAACACTATATTAGTGTCCATTGCGTCTTGCACAAACAATGAATCATCAATGAACGACTAATTCATGAATCTACTTACCAGTTGATAATCAACCATGTGAGTAAATCATGTGTCGGGACTTGGCAAAGGCAATGCTCAGTCTCCTTGTCTATCCGGTTTGTTGGATGCCCTATAATATGTCTGTCATACTCAGAACAACATAGGACAAACAGATCAAAACATTATATGGCCCACAGTGAGCATTATGTTATAAGCATACGACTCGATTTTTAGATAATATTTACATAGAGCAGGTATGGCGGAGCATTGATATAACCCAAAACCACAAGCGCAGTTCCTCCCTACCGGTGACGTCAAGTGGTCTAATTTTGGATGTTATCAAACAACCTGCGTTTCGACTGTGCCCACAGGCCTCTCTACCATAGCCATGACACCACTTACGACGTCTTTTCGCGCCTCTTCGCTGCTAGGCTTCTTTCCACCAAGGTATAGCAGCCACAGCAGCCGACTGATCCGCTCATCTTCTAGTCGTCCAATTCTTTCCACTTCCCCGCCAGCAGGGTTCTTTTGATATAATACATCCAGTATTCCTCGACCATCTCTTGTTAGAAGGATTATCGATCCTTTGGGAGCCTTACCTCTGCCTTGAAAGATCTGCTTGAACTCTCGCATTGATAATGCCATACTGTCATCATCGAATTCTGAGACCTCCGAGACCGTCGACTGACCTGATGTACCGGCGTCCTTGATAGTGTTTTGTGCCTTTTGTGAAGCCTCTTGTATCCTGTTAGTCAGGCCAGTCACCCAGCCATCTCGTAAATGGTTGAAGTTCGTATCTCTGACAGGGACCACCCGGAAGGCAGTTTCTATCTGGCTATGTCCGTCTTGCAGTACAGCCTCCCATATCTTGGAGGAGCTCTCTGGATCGAGTAATGAAGTTCTTAGCTCCTCTTTCTCCCCAGGTATGAGCGCGGAAGCCATTGGATTGATGTGATGTACCAGAGACGCTTGTAGCGGTGCCAGCGAACTGTTCTTCACGTATAGTCCGACAACGTACACCTGGACATTAAGGAACGACACGCGCCGTATTCCAAGACCAATAAGAGTGTATTCTGGATCTTTCTCTCCGGGAACACCAGAAGGTAGTGTTATAATCTTTGGAAAATGTGGTACATAGGATGTTCCCGTGGGAACTAATTCAATCTGCTCATGCGTTGACGGATCCTCTACAACGAGCTTTTGTCCACCAGCGGCCAATACAACAGGCTTGCCTTGAAAAGCTTCCGTGTCTCTCGGATTGGCATCAGCCGAGTGGCCTTTTTTATATTTGATATCTTCCTCTATAAGACAACTGCAAGCGTATGTTCCCGCCATCGAGAATGCTAAGCCGATGAAAAGAAACTTGATCTCTCTTTTCAACTTCCTAACTTCCGCGTCGCGACGCCGCCGTCTTCCAATTTCATCATATGGATTGTTGCTTATCGGCTCCTTTAACTGATTGGCTTCGTCCTCATCGTAAGCTTCAACAGATCTTGCGCGCTCATGTTTTAAGGTGAAGGGTCTTAGAAATGGCTCGCGGAGACGGGAGGAGCGGAGACGAAAGGCGACAGGACGGCGAGCGAAAAGTCGAGTTATGGAAAGTGCTCTCATGGTGGCACAAAGTCGTTATACTCCTGGTTGTCCTCAATGGGTTGGAGAGAACCACGGCTTGACCTGAGAGCAATAATTAGTAAGTGTCAGATAGTCCCGTGGGAATCTGATGGAGCTTGGACCTACGGATCACGCTAGGGTTTACACGTGACTTAATTCCAAGCTTCAAAGTTTAAGTTCAACATTGTCCCATCCCGCCCCCGATATGCTATGATGTCAGCGTATATTATAAGCCATTCAAACTGGGACACATATCGCACATGTGACGGCCGAAATGCGCGAGCTGAATATCGGCATGTGTAATACCTGCTGATAGGAGGGCGACTTCGTGTCTAATATGTCGCTCTTCGTCGACCCCGTCCTCGCTAGTACTGAGTATGATGACGAAGTTGGTGTGGGACAGTTTAGTATGGAGGACCAACATGTGTGTGGCAATGGGCGTATCAAGACTGGACACCGCGAGCTCGACGAAGCACTTAATGGTGGCTTCAGTACTGGCCGTGGTGGAATCGTAGAAGTAGCAGCAGATGTGACCGGATCCGATGACAAGCATGTAAGCGTCACACTTCCTGCACATGTGCAATTGATATAATCTTTAGAACTTGAGATGTCATTTTATATGGGCTCCTGTTAAGATCTTCTGTACCCTTCTCGACACGTTTTTGATGTTAATGCCACTCACAGCTCGTATACTCAATACTTGCAAGTCACTTGGTTTCAAACGCATCGTCCTGTGTCGCCATCATCGATACCACCGGTAATTGCGACGTTCTTGCTCTTTACGAAACTCTGGTAGCCCAATTTGAACGATCGAGACCTACATGCTCAGATTTAGTTGCGGCATCTGCGGGAGATGCTAAAGACCTTACTGAGAAGGCCCTCGAAAGAGTCAAGATTTTTCGCGCCTTTGACCTTACGGGTGTCAGAGAGTCCATAACAGAAATTCAAGAAGGGTTGAGACACTCTATGGGGAAAGCTAATCAATCGAGCGCTGTGCAGCATATACCCCTCGAGCGAAGAGTGTCTCAGTCACCGCATGCTCGTAAAATGAGCGAGATCCCGGACAGCCAAGCCGAAGATGGAGACCATGAGATGCTACTTGACCCAATCCCGACCGTCGCACAGATAGAGCCACCAAAAGAGTCTACAGACACTTCAACGTCCAGCATACTACAAAAAATCGATGTCTTGGTCGTTGATAACCTCACACAAGTCATCAAACCGCTCATGAAGGGCAATCACGTACAAGGTAAAGCCTTTGAGGACAATGATTCGAGCCTTGCTTACTGTCTGTAGCTCATGCAGTGCTGAGCTCGTTCCTACGAACACTCAACCACCTCGTGACAGCGCATAGCTTACTGGCACTGCTCATGGTGTCTACGGTTACACCTTATAGCCAAGCGCTACCGCGTGCACTTACGCTAAAATCAACGTTAATTGTCCATGACTTTGATTACCAGCGTGAGATCGCGCCCGTATCTATTTTCGCATCCAATGCTGCATATCCTACACTGGGACAGAGCTTCCCATACTTTGTAGATCTGATGTTGCTCATTAGTAGATTACCGCTCGATCAGAGGGATGCCAGAGTTTTCTACGCCGATGATGTAAAGCGGTACACTACTGAGGTAGTCAAAGGGGTGAGACTTGGGATCCTTGTGGAGGTATTGAAAGACAGGTATGAGGCACGGTGCGGAAGATGGGCTGTCATCGGTGAAAGTTGAATTCACGACATAACGAGTGGCTTTTATGCCGTGATTGATTCGACCTGGGGTATATGATACACGAATCGAGGAACTTGGTTTTCGTAACCAAGCGCAAGGGGGTTCAACAACTAGAACCCGTCGTTCCCGACTCCTTTACTGGTCGAACATGAACTTCGATCAGCTTTCTCAATTTCCTATCTTTCTCTTCCGACTCCGCCAAAACTTCTGCCTTCCTTTGAGATCCTGCTTACTGCTTTGGCCTATCGCTCAGACCACACCCTGAAGCACTCATCCAGTAGTGGTATGGCTTCATTCAAAGGTACTGTCGTTCCCCGGTAAACACAAGGATTACATCCTCTGAATATGTGCCCACACACTGGGCATGTTTTCCGTAGGTTTGCGCTGATGATCTTAGAGCCATCGTAAAGCTTAACAAGGGGCAAACAGTCGGGATATTCGACAGTTAAGCATGCTCGTTACTCCATGAGGTAGTGTGTGGGTTGCAGACATGTCAGGCAGGGCCTCCTTAAGAAAATTAGTGCGATGGAATCTAGTCTCCTCCGAGGCTGATCGCCTAACATTGTCGCATTTCAATCGCTGTAAGGTCGCAGTTCAACGTTCAATAGGCCTGGTGCACAGCAATCTCAAATCAGGTTCAGGTGTGGCGAGGAAGGACGTGAGTTTAAGTGGAGAGTTACCATTGAATAACAACAACGCCACGGTAGAATGTCATTGTTGGCAGACTACAATGAGAAGACGGGCCCTGCATCCAGTTACCACGATGGATTCTGCTGGCTTGCAGATGTACACTTGACGACCTTGATCAGGGTTTCTTTCATGCCGAAGGATACAGTTGTATCAGTGTCTGATGCATTTCATGAATCTTGAAGACCTCTTTAGTAAGAAGCGAATATATTAAAGATGATCTTCATGTAAAAAGCCTTAGCTAATATGCCAACATTATAGAAGCGCGCGACTATACCTATGGCATACAGAATCGAAAAGCTAGGCGCAATTACAGTGGGAAGAAAAGCATACTAAGGTCACTCTCGTACCAAAGTAAGAGCTTATCATAGAGAGTATAACACATTGAGGAATATGGTGAGACACTAATGATGTATAAATGTTAAGATGGGATCTGAATTACAAGCTTCTTCCCATGAACCTCACCGCGACACAGCATCTCTAATCCTTTTATGATCCCGCCTAATCCACCTCTAATTTCTTGGACCGGATGAGTCTTGAGCAAGTCGCTATCAACTAAGTCTTGTATTTGCTTCGCGCTCGCAACCCCAAGCTCATACTTTCGCTCATCGTATTTTCGAGTGTAGGGGCCAGGACCTAAATTCAATGACACGCCATTTGCTTCTGGGCACATGACCATTTCGATCGATATCGACCGTCTAGTCCTCCAAGATTCGTCAAATGCTTCCAGGCATACATATCGGCCACCAGCTCGGCTTAGTATTTTCATGCAATTTGCTGCAGACTGGGCGTCAGTGATGCAATCGATGACGTATCGGACCGAGGATGCTTTTGTGAACTGCCTCACAATTCGCAGAATGTCCTGTACGCAAGATTCTGATGTATAGGATACCGTGGCGATGGCACCATACTCCATCGCCAAAGGAGCTGAACGTTCAGATGTTACCGCAATCGGCAGGTATCCACTCCTGTACGCAGTGTTCGTCAGCTGAAGAAGATTTTAACAGGTAAAGATGCACTTGCAATCGAAGCAATTGGCACATCATAGTACCTGAAGCTGTAGCTCCGCCATATATCACAACGGGTAGTTGAGTCTCTTGCAATGGCTCAGAAGGTCGTCCCTGCAAGCCTAAGCTTGCGCAATCCCAGAGGGCCAAAGAAGCAGTCTTCCATCCGATGCCACCAAGCGCCGCAGCTTCCATGTTGGACCATCTTTTTGGTACTCGAATGAGTAGATGAATATCAGCTACGATATATTGGGCAAACGCCCCTTCTAATGGTCGCTGAGAGTTATTGCCAACTACGCTTCCACAAACTCGGTCGTTCATAGTGATTCGAGCACTTTCAGCGATCTTTGGTTCCTCATCTTCGCCAAATGCCAAGCCTACTACAATACCACAAAAATCGCAACCAACTCTGGTGCCGGGCGAGGGAAAGTACTTGGCCATCTTGTAATCGAACGGATTTAGTGCTACTGCAAGAGTTCTGATCAAGGCATGACCGGGAGACAAAATGGGTGTCGGTTCATCGTGCGAGAGACACAATGGAAGCGATTCTGATGTTTTGCATCCGTTGATCTGCACCAGCGCAGTCTGTCTCTTGAGTTCCATGAGATCCCCGTAAATAAAGACTGGAAAATCCTAAAATTGAGCGATTACTATCTCGTGGAAGTAAACCCTTTACAGTCGGTAATATTAGTAAGGAGACAGTGAAGCTTTGCGCTGTACCTCTCCAGTTTATCCTCGAAGGATGCTGTAGGGGTACGTACATATTGCAGCGTTCCGATGTAAGAATCTCGGCATCATAAGACGTCTGCATGGCAGAAATCGCTGATGTATGAGCCAAGGTAGAAGCTTCCTCACGAGATATGGGCCGATATGCAGGCATACACCTTTGAGCATGATGTAGCATTGCATGAGCCCACTACATCATTAGCATGTCGACCTGACGCTGTATCTACTAATGTTGACCCCCTGCAGAGTCACACTAGAATTAATCAACCTTGCATTTGCTGAAACGCAAGAATATCAGTAAATGAGGTGACAATAATTACAGAATCCTTCCTACAGTTGGGCAAATCAACCAGCGGCACCGGGCATGCAGTGTTGCAGTGTTACGAGTGACATTCATCGGACCGATTTGGCAATGCGACTAGACACTAGTCATCAATCTCGGTCTAGGGTCATTGCTGACGATGCTCTAACTTCAAGATTCAGGATATCTCGGACGGTAATGATTTAGGCTTTGTCATAAGATGTTGATTTGTTTCCTGTTCATCATGCTTTGAGACGATCTTGCAATACATGTTATTTAAAATTGTTTCTGCTGTGTGCTACGGGCTCTGGGATGCTACCTATTTCGCATGAAAGATACTCTCAAAGTGACCTAAGTTTCACAAAGGCTTGCTTCGGATGTCGAAAGACGGCTTCTTGTCCACATAAGTTGCGAAACTCGTCATCTAGGGGGAGGAATTCGAAATTCAGTACCAGAAGTGCTACGAAAATGCGAAGCTCATACATCGCGAGTCTTTTGCCTATGGACAGTTAGTTGATCTACTTTGAGCCAATTGTATTAAGAAGTGACAGCTTTACCAAAGCAGCCCCGAAACCCTCCACCAAAGACCAGGGTTGGTAGTGCATGAGGATTGAAAGTTTCTTGTCCTGTGGTCGCACGACTTAGCCAGCGGCTGGGCTCAAAAATTTCCAGAGACTTTTCTGCGTGGCCATTAATGCTGCTGCTTCGTGAATTCTTTTCATAAGCAGCCCTGCTGGTAGGACTACGAAGGTCTTCGGGGATGTTCCTCGGGGTTTTCAGTACTCTTGTATTCATGATAACATCTGTTCCGGCTGGAACATGATACCCAAGTATTTGAGTATCGACTGTCGTACGCCGAACGATCGCACCAGCAGTTACGGCAAAACGGAGTGTCTCCTGCAGAAATGCATCCAGATACGGAATATCCGTATCAATGATATCGGTAGCAGAAATCTTTGATCGAGGTTTTGAGAATGACGACTGCAGCGCCTTTCTCAATTCATTTTGAGCTGACTGATAGAGACTTAAGAATTTAACACACCACGCAAGTGTATTACCCGTGGAGTCAATGCCCTATGCAGGACCACTTTAGCCACAATAACGATAAGTTCAGCTTGGAGAAATGTCGTATTTACTTACCGCCATTAAGAAAAGCATTAGTTCTTCGAGCAAGGCCGTACTCCCTTCAGTAGTATAGACATCCTGAGAATCTTGCTTCGCGGTGATCATGAGCTCTCGTCTCAGAACAAGATCCATTGCACAGGTTTCATATTCGTCGTAATTGTCGGAACAACTCTTCGAAATCTGCATATGCCGGTCGCGAGATGCTGATACAAGTCGCTGCAGCTCGTCCCTCATGAATTTTTTGATGCGACGGTATCGAGAGCCGAATTTGATGTACTTGAGCTGTAGTGAGGCCATCCCTGATCCAGTGAATGCAGCCACAGTTTCATCGATGAATTGCATAGTGTCGAGAAACATCTCGCGGGATGATTGTGCTGCTCGTGGCGTAATGTTTCCTCCTGTACATTCTGCGGCGTCTACTGCGAACGACCTATGATTCTCAAAGGCTGCTAGCTGATCTCGCAGCATTCCTAAATCGCTACCAAGTACAGCCGCCCACATCATGTCCATGGCTGCATCGTTAAAGTCTTTCTTGGTTTCAAAAGGTGCTTCTCCATTTTGCTCAATTTTCAATCGCCACACTTCCATCAAGTGTAGGACTGTGGTATGTACATTGGAAGCGACTACTCGTCTCAAGAAGGAAGTGCTCATGGTATCAGCCCATATCCTTTTCTGAAGTTTTAGAAATGGAGTTGTAGATTGAGCAATAGAACATTTAGGAAGCAGGTATTCGAAAAATGTGGCAGTCGTAGCAGAGCGATCGAACTCTTGATGCCTTCTTTTGAGGATATCTTCAGCCTCGCGAGGGTCATCTACAAGAACTGTGATGTTGCGAAACGAAGGAATAAGGAGTTGTGCAATAGGCGAGTTTATCCTCTCGTTGACGAGGAAGAGAGCCTCGCTCTGCTCTTGTGTCTTCGATGCGTGAGCGGCAATATCTACAGCGTCACCAAGAAAACGTTTCACTGATGCAGGGTTATGCGGGAGACCGAAGGAGGGTTTAGGAAATAATTTGGAAGAAATCTTGAAAAGTATAATAATGATAGCGGAAACAAGGGAAACTAGCATCAGATTCGCCATGATGCAAGTTGGTAATATTCTTATGAAGGATAAGACTATGAGTAGAATCCTTAGGCAAGGTAAATAGCAAATCTTATGACGAGTACATGCGAACGATAGAGGAATGGCCCGGAGGTAATGTAAACCATGGATACTCCTCCGCAGGCCTTGTATTATTAATGACGTGTCTTGAAACTGTTTCGGATATACACACCGAGCTAGTATTAGAGTCGAGTCCGCTTAACCCTCGCGCCTTTCCTTTTTGATACTATTAAATATAAAAGTAGTAAACTAAGAGTATTAATATTATTAATAGCTCCGCTCTAGTAATGAAAGAACTATAGAGAGAATTCTATATAGTAGCGTTAAGATTTTTTAATAGTACTAGAATATATAATATTCCTTAATTACTTATTATATATAATAGATATCTAGTACTCTATATAATTAAGCTAGAAGTCTTAAATATATATATTGTATATTCTTAATTGACACTAATTTTAGATTTCTATAGACTATATAATATATAATAGAGTTTCAAGATATATATTATATAGAATAGTAAAATTATAGTTAACTTAAACTCTACTCTATAACTATTTATAATAGTAAGTAGCTAGTAGAGAATTATTTATTAAATTATACTCTAATTATAAAAGAGAATATATAGATATAATAGGTACTTAAAACTACTAAGTCTAGTGTAATATATATACCTCTAATTACATACATAGCTTACTAGTGCATAAGTTTCCTGAGGTAATTGGGACTTAGCGCTAGCGTCATCCAGGATGCATGATACATAACGCTAGCTGCTTTGTTACCACGCTAAGGCACGCTTAATATGCGTACCCCACAATCTTGCTTTAGTGTAGAGCATAGTAGCAACGACTGATTTAAATAGTGGCAGCCAGTCCGCACAGATGGATTTACTACATTAGCATGTGAGTTGAGTTTGGACACGCATAACAAGACCGAATATGAAGGACTACTTTATCGAAAAAATGCATGACTTTGCCTCTTGCAGCATGCTACTTACAGGATTTGCGGTAACGGTAAAGAACGGTTTGACAGCTTTATCTTGACCAGATGTCTAAGTACGGCCCACAGGCTTTCGTCTCCATCATTATACGGGTCCTATATTTACTATACTTACATCCTTATGCGAAGTATCCCGGCCCAAAGATTGCAGCAATAAGCGACGCTTGGTGGGGTTACCAGTGGTACATTATCAAGCTCTTAAGCAACCAGTAGGGAAGTCGTTGACCCAAGCTCTTAGGTTGTCGGGTCGATATCCATGGGCGATCGAGGCGTCCTTTAAGAAATATGGCATGTGAAATCATGAAGTATTACATAGCGAGTACGCTTATTAACAGACATAGGCGACGTTTTTCGTATTGCACCTAACGAGATTGCTATATTTCCCTTTGAAGCACACCAAGGTAATATCGCCTGGCTGCTATGTTCAATGCTTTATCTAAAAGGAAACAGACATGCTTCTCAGCGGCCGTAATGGATCGGCAACATTTATCAAGACAGATATACATCCTACATTCACACCAGGGGAGCTGGGCGTCTTTGCTGAAAGAGACATCGAAAAGCATCGAAGCAGCAAACAGGTATTATCTCGTGCATTCAGTCTTGCTGCTCATAAAAACCAAGATACGGCGCTTCATAGTATTGTGGACGGCTTCATTCACCAAATTGAGGCGAAGAAACTCCCTGAAGACGACGTCAATGTCACTGAGGTACGTAAAAAGCCTTCGGATATCTGGTTTTTCATCTCATTGACGCGCAAACGCCTGCAGTGGTTCGGATGGCTTGCTGCTGACCTCATTGGTGAGATGAGCATTGGACATAGCTTTGAGAATGTATCCTCAGGTGCGCGAAATCCTGCGAAGGATATGGTATCTTTATGTCGGGGAAAGAAAACCGTTACTGAAACCTCTTAGGTCGTGCAAATGTTTTCATCAGGAACTTCTTTGTAACAGCTCCACTCACAAACCTTTTAACGGTCCTGACACGTTTCCCATGTATGGGTCCGCTCGTACGCTGGAATATTCCTCGAAAAACTCTAAAACCTCTTGTTGACGTTCTAGACGAACTCAAGACTGGTCTCAAGGAGCGGGTAAGTCAGGGGAGTAGTGTGAAGCACAATGACTACTTCACGCCACTTCTTCAACAAAACAAATCAGTTTACAGCGAGGATTTCCTGTTCTCCCAGCTCACTGCAATTGTGATTCCTTTAGAAGCAGTCGCCAGTCTCATGCAGTCCATCGTAACCTGTCTTGGTCTACACCAGGATATATTGAAGAAGGTCCAAGCCGAGATTAGGACAAACTTCGCTACTTGGGAAGACCTTGAGGAAGCTGATGTACTTCAAGGTCTTCCATGGCTGAGTGCTGTGGTCAATGAATCTCTGCGATTTCATACTATCGCAACATTTCCGCAGCCTCGTGTAAGCCCTGGTGGCGTTATTGGTGGGTATTACATACCGAAAGGCGTAAGTGTACCGCAAAATTATTGCTACGGTGTCCGACTATATTATTGAGAATACAATGTTAACATCATCATAGTGTCGAGTTCAATCATCTACTTTCTCCATGTTCCGAAGTGAACGGTACTTTAAAAAAGCGCGGGAGTATCATCCAGAGAGGTGGTTGCCACCCTCGCATGCTGACTACGATAATATTTTTGACAATGACAACCGTGCTGTCTTTCAACCTTTTAGCAGTAAGTTTTTCCAGTGCCTGTGCGAAATCCTTCATCTACCTTTCAAATACAAGAACAAGGTTGCCATGAGTCATGATCTGAATTTCATATAGTGGGTCCACGGAAATGTCTGGGATTTGTCACAGCAGATCGACAAGCTCGTGCCGTTATCTCTAAACTCCTTTGGAAATTCGATTGGGAGATTGGGAATGCTTCAGACCTCGATTGGGAACGTGACATGAAAGTATATCAGGTCACTGTTAGACCAACGGTTTTGGTGAAGTTCAAGCCATGCCGACACCAGGATTGATCTGTTAGTGTGAAGGATACATCCTCATGGCCGTGGTAAGTACTATTGCGCAAGACGACGATTTAGATAGCTACTTCATTCAGATGCGTTCATCCTACTAGCAGGTACTCACGTCTGTTGGACATTCGAAATGGAGCTAGTAGTCACATGGCAAATTCAGACATATCAAAGGATTGCGCTTAAATCGCTCAGACTACATTTCCAAGTAACTGTTCATTCTTGGGCAGCTATAGGTGACCATAAATTCGCCGGAGATGCTAAGTAATAGAGTCTTCCTTGCTAGAGATAGGAAATGAGAGGGTAATTGATAGCATCTATAAGCGACTTCCTCAAGTACACACACCATAATGCCAACTAGGGAACTTTATAGCGCTAATTCCTTAATGGTCAATAGTCATAATATATCATTGAAGTTTCTATGGTAAAATAAAATATGTTTCTAACTACTAATATAATTATTAGCATCCGTCGTTTTCCTAGTTGAAACTAACGAGCTAGTACTAGTACACGCGTGTTCTTACCTCTGGCTTTCTACTTATCTTAAGCCTTTCCTACTTCTATAATTATGACTAAGTATATGAGAGTAGTAAAAATAGATACAATAGATAATTAGATTAATCTCTATCTACCTATGTATCTCTATTTATAAAGTCTATTTAACTTAGAAAAACAGAAGAGTTGTTAGGGCTGACACCAGGATAGACTTAACTGGACTACTATGGTCCAGTACGGTCCGTGATAGGTGGACCTAGGTTAAGCCAGCTAGAATAAGCGAGACCACTATATAAGTAGACCGTATATACTTAATTTCTACTCTTTAGAAATTAACCTTATTAGAAGAGTAGACTACCCTTTTAAATATATTCCCGAATCCTCCTATAATCTATTAGACTACTATTCTACGTCTATAATCCTTATATTTTAATTCCTCTTTATATAGCACGATAGTAGTTTATAGAAATAGCTCTAACTACTCGTTATAATACTCGTAGCACCGCCTCTTATAGTAGACCTTCTTCTAACCTAAATAAGAAGAATAGTCTACCTATAACTACCCCTACTAATAACTATATCTTATAGACTATTATACTAATAACTCGTACGATATTCCGTATAACTATAGAAGATATTATAGAATATAAGGATAGAGTCTATTATACTCTATCTTAGTCTAGTTCAAACTATACTAGATCTAACCTTAACACGAGGCTAGACCTTATTAATATTAACGAGTTAATCTATTAGAATCGCCTAACGTTAACTATACCTTATAATAATATATATACTAGACTATATAAAGAGAGGTAATAATAGATTTAACTTAAGTAATAACTACATAAACTCGACGAAGCTTAAGAACATACTACAAGACTTAAAGCTATATTACGCGCTTTAGTTCTAGTAACGACTAATCTATATTTATATAGATCTATACTAACTAAAATAATCTATTCTAGTCTACTACTATTCTAATTACCCCGACCTAAGAAACTACCTTACTTTAATAGTAAAAGTAGAAAGAGTTTCTACGTATAGGCTTACTAATATAGCCGATTCTTCTATCTATTTACGAATAATAGCGATAAAATTAGATTCGTCTAGAACTACCTTAACCTAACGCCTTTAGAATATTAGATAGTATACTAAATCGAACATTCTAAGGATACCTATAACTAGGACACGTTTACTAAATTTCTCCTCTAATATTTTAGCGATAGAGCTAAACGACGCGACTAGGCCTAGAGCTATATCTTCGAGACTCGATAACGAGATAATTAGTTACTATTATAACTCCTTAAATACCTTTAGCCTCTCTAGAGAGAAGCCGAAGAAGATCGTATAATTCGATAGTATAACAACTTTAAACGGTCCCTCGCCCTAAATATAAAGGACCGTCTCGACCTTATAATAATAATCTCTATAGATCTCTAAGCTCTTATAAACCTCGTGGAGTAATACTAGCGTATAATAAATAATTAACGCTACGCTAGTGTATAACTATCCCTAATAATCTAATCTAATATAAAATCATCTAACTAAAACCGATTTAGTAATAGATCTCGTAGAACGTTATAAGGCTACTACTACGCCTTAAATTTAAAACCACGCGGATTATATCGTGGATCTCCCTACTAATCGATATATTAAGATATAAGAACCGACTTATATAAATAACCTAAAGTTACTTACTATACCTATAGTAGAATAGGCTATATAGCACCTAAGTACCGTTTAGGGAAGCTACTAAGTACTAATATAACTAACTAACTAGTTATATACTATAAGTGCTAGTAGCTAGGATATATCGCGCCTAACTATCTAGTATAGAATATAAAAAACTAATAGTCTACGAGAAACTCTCGCGACTTATAGACACGACTATAATAGAGAGGTAATCCGCTAAATAGTATATTAAACTATAGGCTAGACCTATTAAGGTCCCTCGTGGATAATATTAGATTATAATACTTAATAGTAGGTTAGCTACTAACGTTATATCGACCTAACGAGCACGAGAACTTAACGCCGATATCTAAGCTCTAATAGATACTATATTCTATAGTATCGACGGTCCTATTAAGTTATATAGTACCTATACTATTAAATATAGTATCTAGGATAGCGGAGGGAAATAGAAACTCTACTACTTAACCTTTATCGTGGTAGATAGTCCCTTTAATATAATTCTAG